AACATTTCGTCAAAGTATCGCAAACCATTGTTCTACCTTGTGCTGACTTCAGCGGGGCACCAGCAGCCCGCAGGGAGTGCAAAATGCGTCGGGAATCATTGCCTGATCCGGAGGAAGCTGATGGTTTATTCAGCTGAAAGGGCACCTTAATGAAACTGCTAACCGAGCCCTAGAATAGTTCTTACGGAGATGTGCCGAGCGGCAAGGCAATTTGAAATTGCCATCTGGGCCAGCCGCTCTATCGCGTTCACTCCTTCGTTACAGGGCTCAAAAAGGAATCTCGATTAACCTTTTTGGGACATGACATAATACATCTACATATTAGGAAGATCTTTCCCATCTACTAGAATCTAGCATTGCCCGGCGTCTAGGATTGAAGGAGTAGAACGCGATACGAGCGGATGGTTTAGGAGCCTGGGTGACGGACTGAGTGACTAGTTCATTCGTGTTCATGTTCCACCATTGACCGCGTGTATCACTATGAAGCTCATAGGAGGTCCGCGCCGCAATCGACCCGCTTGGCCTGTCTTCCGAAACAATCGCTGCTCATTCGAGCGCTTTATCAGTCATAACGCCAGTCGTGGGGGCCGGGGCGCAACTTCGTATCAGCGGCCGTCCACTGTCCAGGGAAGGCTCTTCTATACGTGTTTCGATATGCTCTCGGAATCCGCTCTTCGACCGCCGTCCTCCACCGTCCAGCGTCGTTGGCAGCATGACCGTTGCCTGCCGCCGGCACCGAGGGCCGAAAGGCCGATAAGGGCCTCGTGCTTATCGCATGTTCCGTCCGCTATTACTGGACCCTGCGTTCTCTTCCTCCCATTACCCCGCACGCCTCGCCCGTTCGACGTCCGTGCCATATAGCAAGCAAGAGCCTACGAGCCTAAAGCCCAAGATGCCGACCCAGGATTTCATCCCGAGCACGGCGACCACGATCCAGGAGAAGCCGACGTCGAAGCCGAAGATCAGCCATCCTTTAGATCCGCTGACCCCAGATGAGGTATCGTATCAGATCTCTCGCATACAGATCCCGAACTCGAACGCGGCTCTGCTGATCAACAAGCTCATGTTTTGCTGTAATACATAGATCGCTGCGGTGACGCTCAGCGTGAGGCAATACGTCGCGGCGAAGACGGACGTTAGCGCCGTCAGGTTCATCACCTGCTATCTTCTGCCGCCTCCAAAGAAGGACGTGCTCGCCTTCCTGGGCATTCCATTGGGCCCGGGGGAGAAACCACTCCCTCCCCCTGAGAAGATCGTGCGCAAAGCCGAGGTGGATGTGAGTACCTAAACTTGACCGGACCGCCAAGGCCCGTCTATCTGACTTCCTCCTCGAGATCAGTTCATCGACGTCGTGAACGGGTAACGTTTTCTACTTGTTCATCCGTACGTTCAGAAAGGCGCTGACGACAGCGTCCAATAGCGATGCTTACAACGTCATCCTCTCCCTGAAAGGCAACAAGTGGGAGGTGGATACGCTAGACAAGCTTCCCGAAGGTGTTCAGCCCCAGATTTCTCCGGGAGAACTCATCGAGTGCGAAGAGGTGATCCGCGCCGACCCCGAGGTATGCAGGCTCGCAGCTGAAGTCGGTGCGTACCACATACATCCCTCGTCGTAGACCATCTACCTAGAACGTCTTGGCTGATTCCCGGATCACCAGGCGTCAAACCGGAGCAACTGTACGCCGACGGATGGTCCATCGGCTACGACGAGCGTTTCCCGAAGAAGCAGCGTCTGCAGCAAGCTCTCCTCTTCGCCCGGTTCTCGGAGCACGACAACCTCTACGCGCACCCGATGGTAAGTCCCGTCGCCGAGCGTGCATGATACAGTTCCGGCTCACGAGGATTCGAGGATTTCATCCCGGTGATGGACGCGAACACGCTGAAAGTCGTCCACATCGATTTCCCAGCGCACTATTCCACAACCGAAGAGTCCAAGGGCGAGCTCTCGGCTTCGACCACCAAGTATCCACCGCTCGACGCGGACCAGCTGGCCCACGCCAAGCGCGAGCGTATTCCCCCGCCGAGGTCCGTAACAATCCATCGCCCCCGAGCGAAGTCAGGTGTGATGCTTACGGAGGGATGTGCAGAGAGGCGTTCGACTTCCTCCCCGACCTGGCCGCGCAGAAGCAGAAGGAGGGCGAGAAGCCGTTCAAGCTCCGGGATGACATCAAGCCGCTGCATGTCGTCCAGCCCGAGGGCGTCAGCTTCAAGGTCGACGGCCACGTCCTCGAGTGGCAGAAATGGAAAATGCACGTCTGTGAGTACCTCTTTCTTGGCACGGTCTGCCCTACGTCGTAGCGAAAGAGTGGTCGTTCCTGACTCGCGTGTGTCTTGAACAGCGTTCACGCATCGGGAGGGACTGGCGCTCTCCACCATCACGTACGACGACGACGGCGAGGTTCGGCCGGTCTTTTACAGGCTGTCGTTGGCGGAGATGGTGGTGCCGTATGCGGCGCTGGAACACCCTCATCCCCGCAAGTTTGCCTTCGACTCGTAAGCATTTCCGACCTCCCTCTTTCTCCAGCATAACGTGCTCATCTGTCACGGCAGTGGCGAATACGGCATGGGCACGATGGCGAACGAGCTTACGCTGGGCTGCGACTGCCTCGGCCAGATCCACTACATGGTGAGCCGCTGCTGCCGCCGTTTTGTCGTTACCCATAGCAGATGGTTGATTCTCGATCAGCCCGGTTCTTACGTCGCGCACGACGGCAGCGCCGTCATCATAAAGAACGTGATTTGCATCCACGAGGAGGACGCCGGGCTGCTGTGGAAGCATACCGACTACCGTCCCGGCGGACGCGGCCATGCCGTGCGCAGCCGGCGGTTGGTGGTCAGCATGGTCTGCACGCTCGCCAACTACGGTGAGCGATCGATATCCAACGCGTCGCCTCCGCCCCGTTCACCTTCGCTCATGTGTGCTTCTTCCTCTATCCCGCTCGTCGGCCTCCCCTAAAAAAAAGAGTACGTGTGGAACTACCACTTTTACCAGGACGGGACGATCGAGTTCGAGGTCCGGCTGACGGGGATCCTGAACGTGTACACGGCGCGGCCGGACGAGAAGCTGACGTACGGGACGATGGTCGCGCCGCAGATCAACGCGCAGTATCACCAGCACATCTTCTCGCTCCGCGTCGACCCGATGATCGACGGCCTGCGCAACTCGGTCGTCGAGTCGGACGTGCTCCCCGCTGCGGCGGACGAGGACGCGGAGGCGAATTACGCCGGGAACGCGTTCGTGGTGCGGGACACGACGCTGAAGACGGAGGGCGAGGGCGCGCGCGAGTTCGCGTACGAGACGGATCGGCGGTGGCGGATCGTGAACCCGAACAGGCGGCATTATGCGTCGGGCCAGGAGGTGGGGTATGGGGTGATGATGAAGGGCGGGGCGGCGCCGTTGATGGCGGGGGAGGGGAGCTGGGTGGCGAAGAGGGGAGGGTATGCGAGGAAGGCGCTTTGGGTGGTGAGGGAGGAGGAGGGGGCGAAGGGGGGGAGGATGTGGCCGGCGGGCAAGTATGTGCCGCAGACGAGGGAGGAGCCGGAGGATTCAGTGGGGCGGTGGGCGCAGGGGGAGGGGAGCATCGATAACGAGGATATCTTGGTGTATGTGACCGTCGGTGAGTTGTCTGTCCTTTGCGTTCATTAAAGAGTGAGCTCATGCTCATTGAATGATATGCAGGGACGACGCATATTCCAAGGCCGGAGGATTGGCCAGTGTAAGTCATTCTTATGACTGTTGACTTGTCTTAATCGGTGGCTGATGAGCTATGTATGAACAGGATGCCGGTGGAGCATCTCCGTGTCGCGTTCAAGCCCGTGAGCTTCTTCAAGGCCAATCCGAGCTTGGACGTGCCGGGTGTGAAGGACCCGAAGAGCGTCGCGGCTTTCGCAGATGTCCATGCTAATGGCACGAACGGGGCTTGCTGCGCCTGAGTTGCGTGAACCTCGGTCTATCCCACTTGTTCTTGGCCTCCTGGAGGACTCGTTTTTTGAGGGCACAAATCGAAGCTGTAGCATGCACCATATGACTTGAGTGCCGGCTTGGCATACGCAACAAATGCACCGGTAGTCTGTGTACAATGTACGGATCGATATAGCTTTAACGTGCAATCTATCATCGCACTCCAATCGCATCCCCCGGATCGCTCGTCCTTGACATGTCCGCGCCGCGTAGGTCACCTCCGAGTCAGGCACCGGAGCGGTAGCGGTGCAGCAAACGTAGATAGATGGACACGCGTGGGACAGGTGGGCATCCTTAGCCTGTTTCCCACCCGAACAGCAACAAGGCCGGCATGTGCTTGGCGAGCTCCGTCCATCAAATAAAAGAGAGCGCGCGTTCTTGACGACGTTTTCCTTCATTCCGTCGACGGTCCCCGTTCCTCGTCTGTCCTTGGAATTGTTTGTCTGGTTTCGTCACGATGCTCGCCCTCGCCGCTTTCGTCCCCGCATTGGTCCTGGCAACGCAGAGTAGGCCATCAAAACGCGCGCTAGCGTACCTTCTCAGAGATATTCATGATGCTGTTTATGCTGTATAGCTGCGGCCATCGACCTTCTCTCTCGCCAGAACAGCGGCCTTGACCCGAGCGACCTCCCCGCCGCGTGCCAGTCGACCTGCGCGACGATCGTGAGCGCGCTCAACACGTGCACGACCGACCAGTGTCTCTGCACGAACGCGAACACGAAGGCGTACGCGGCGTGCCTCGAGTGCCTCGTCGCCGACGCCGGCACGGGCGAGGAGACGGCCGAGAGCGGGATCCAGCAGTGGATCGATACGTGCAACCTCGAGGGCTTCACCGTCTCGTCTGTCGCCGTGAGTGCCTGTTCATCTTCTCGTCGCTCTTCTGCTCTTTTTTCTTCTCGCTGAGCGCTGACGTTGTATCTTGTAGATCTCCACCAGCGCGGGCACCGCGACGGGCTCTGCGACGGGTTCCGCCATCTCCGCCATCACCTCCGTCACCTCCGCCGCCGCGCCATCCGTCACCTTCGTCGGCACCACCTCCAGCGCCGGCGGTGCGTCCGTCAGCGTCTCCGCCCCTGTGGCCTCTACCACCGCCGGCTCTGGCGGCAACTCCGTGACCTTCGTCGGTACCGGCACGACCACCGCGGACGGGTCGGCGGAGACCACGTCCGACTCCAGCAGCGGTACGTGTCATTTTATGGCTGGCTATCTATCAGACGAAACTGATGGGGGCGTGGTCGCTCGCAGGCTCGGGCGGCGGTATCACCGGCGGCGCCAGCGCCGCATCCGCGTCCATGTCGGTTTCGGCTCTGACGGCGTTCGCCATTCCCGCGGTTGTTCTGGGCCTCCTCGCCTGGTGATCGATCGCTCTATTTCGCGTTTGGCTCCGCGCCTCTGCTTCATCGTATCTGCTGAACGCTTGCTCCCCCATACCCACGTCTATCGTGTGTGTGATCTTGTGACGCGTAATCTGGCTCCCTTGTTCTCGAAGAGTTTACACACATACCCTCCTTTGTATCTGACCTGTCTTTTATGGGTGGTCGGTTATTCCAGGCGATCGAAGCAATGTTATGTCATACAGCCGGATGACCAGCGTGAAAAGTTATGGACAACGCGATTACTTCAATTGCGGGTGAGGGGTGTATGATACAGGGAATATACAGCGACTATATGCATGCGATCTAAATGACGAACAGCCTCGAGTCTATGGTATAATGCGAGAAACCAAACGAGAGCGAAGCCAGAAGAGGTATTTATCTTTACGTATACGCGTGGGGTTTGATTATTCCGTCTCCTCCCCCAACATCTTCGCCAGCACGTCGTTCCCCTCGTCCACCGGCGCCTCGTACACCGCGAACGCCGCCCGCTGCCGTTCCCCGCCCTTCTCCTTCCGCTGACCACGCGCGCTCGACGTCTTCTCCTCCGAGTTCCAGCCCTGGCCGCGGTCGGCGAACACCTCCGGCCGGCGGTCGAGCAGCATCTCCATGTCCTCGTCGCTGATCACGCTCGCCTTGCCCGCCGCCGTGCTCGGCACGACCTCGATCCGCTCCCCTTCGAGCTTGAGCAGCGCCGCGGCCATCTCCGCGATCGTCTCCGGCTTGGATTTCGCCGCCGCCGTCGTCGTCGCCGCCGGCATCTTGAACTTGCCTGGGTACCAAAAATAAATAAATCCCGCGGTGAGCCGTCGAAAAAGAGAGAGAGAGAGTGGGTGCGATGGGGAGAGGGTGGAAAAAAAAATAGGGGAAAGACGGTGTACCTTTGGCGATGACGAGCGCCTCGAGCTGCCGCTTCTCGGCGGCGCGCTGCATGATCTTCGTCTCGACGGTGTGTTTGGAGACGAGACGGAAGACGAGGACGGGCTTCGTCTGCCCGATGCGGTGCGCGCGGTCTTGCGCCTGCAGATCCATCTGCGGGTTCTGATATAGCACGATCCGTCAGGATATCGGACGCACACGCGCGGAGAAGGGCGAACGTACCCAGTCCTGGTCGTAGAAGATGACGGTGTCGGCGGCGGTGAGGTTGATGCCCAGCCCGCCCGAGCGCGTGCTGAGGAGGAAGAGCTTGGGCGCGTCGGGATCGTCGCCGCCGTTTTGGAAGCGGTTCATCTCTTCGCGTCGTTCCGCGGGTGCCGTCGAGCCGTCGATCCGGCACAGTTCCCAGCCCTTCAGCTCCCTCGCCCAGTCCTGCATACGTACATTCGATGTCAGGGCCCGAAACACGTAATATGCGTGGTGGAGAAGAAGGGGGGCGAAGGACGGGTCACGAACCTCGATGATGTCGAGCATGGTGGTGAATTGGGAGAAGATGAGCACTTTGTGTTTGCGGCGGAAGAGCTCGTCGAGCAGGCGCTCGAGGACCATCATCTTGCCGCTCGCGTCGACGAGGTCCTCGTTCATCACGGGCGCGTGTGTCCGAGGGTCCGTCGGCCAATGGAAGAGAAACGGGTGCGAGCACACCTTGCTGCGGCATCACGTTAAAAAACAACGTGTCTTTCCATCATCACACAGACGCGAATACCCACCGGAGCTGCATGATGGTGTTCTGGAGCTTCATGTTGTTCACCTGCTTCACTGGGACGGGTTTCGTTCGGCGATGGTTCGCATGGGCGCGAGGAGACGGATATACGTACGTGCGGCCTTCAACGCCCACTCTTTCCCCAGCTCCTGGGCGTCCTTCGGTTCGGGCGTCCGCGCCTTCTTCTTCGGGCTGGGTCCGCCCTTCTCCAGTCGCTCGAAATACTCGTCGTCGTCCTCGCTATCGAGGTCGTACTTCTTCCTCTTGCCGCTTCGCATCTTCCTCGGCGCGTCCACGTCCAGATCCGCCTTGATCTTCTCCACCGCCGCACCGCCGCCGCCCTTCTGCTGGTTCTTGAGCAGAAGGGCGCGCAGGCCGCCGCCGACGACGGCGTCGTAGAGGCTGCGCTGCTGCTCGGTGAGCGGCGCGTAGAGGACGTACTCTTTCTTGGGCGGAAGGTCGGACATGACGTCGGCCTTGACGCGGCGGAGGAGGAAGGGCTTGAGGATGGCGTGCAGGGAGTTGATGATGCCCGAGGAGCGTTCGGTGGGGAGGGTCGATTGCAGCGTCGGTAGGTTGAACCTGGGCGTTTGGTTAGTGCCAGCCCTCTCCTCGGCGCGCGATAGGATGCGCACCACTGCTGGAAGGAGTCGAGGTCGCCGAAGATGTCGGGCAAGATGAAGTTGAGCAGACTCCACAGTTCGCTCAGGTTGTTCTGGGATTTGAAGTTAGGACAACATGCGTTATATACCGCATGGGTAAAGTAACGAGACATACGTGCAGAGGAGTGCCGGTCAGGATCATCCTCCCGGCCGACTCGTACTTTTTGATTTCCTGCATGAGCTTTGAATCGAAGTTCTTGAGGCGGTGACCTTCGTCGACGACGATGTACCCCCATCGGTAGTGCGCCAGGTGCTGGCGGTCCTTGATGATCATCTCGTACGTCGTGACCACGACCGGGAACCTGTTTCGGCGTGCGGGCGCCAGCGGGTCTTCGTCCGCTTCCTGCTTTAACGCCTTTGCCTCTTTCGGCTCTGACTCTGGCTCCGGCTCGGGTGCTGGATCTTCGACTTCGGGATCCTCGTCGCCTCCTTCTCCGTCACCGTCTCCTTTGCCATCGTCCTCGCTTTCGTCATCATCGCTCTCGGCATACGTCTTTCTCGCCTTCCCTCGCAGTCTTCCGCTGGACCTCGATCCAGAGGGTGCTGCCGGTCTTGTTGCGGCCCGGGCCTTCTGCTTGTTGACCGTGGCGACAGCCCTCTTCGCCCTCTTCGCCTTGGGCTTCGTGGCGGCCTTTCGTTGGACGGTGGGGTTGCGCCCTTCGAGCAGGCTGAGGCTCATGGCCGTCCGACGCAGCTCGGCGCGTTCGGCCGGGGTGCCGTGGTAGAGGCAAACCGGGATCTAGATCGCGAATTCGCGTTAGGACGAAGGCGGCGGGAGAGTAAAAAACGGGATGACCCGGATTTCGTACGTCGGGCGCAAACTTTTTGAACTCTTCGCCCCAGTTATGCAGCACGCTGAGCGGGCAGACGACCAGGAACGGCGCGACCATGTGTTCTCGCAGGAATGCGGCGAACGCGATCGTCTGCAGCGTCTTGCCCAGACCCATCTCGTCCGCTGCACGCATCCGGTTTAATAATAATAATAATAAATGAACAAAAAGAGAGAGAGAGAGAGCCTCGTCAGCCACGGTGCCTCTCGCTTGACCGAGACCGAGTGTATATATGCGCGCACCGAGGATTCCGGAGATCCCGTTCTCGTACAGGGACTTCATCCACGCGAGCCCTTGGAGCTGGTAGTCCTTCATCTTCGCGCCCGTCACGAGCGCGGGCTGCTCCAGCTGCCGGCGCGCGGCGTCCACGTCGACGGTCGCGCTCGCTTCCTTCTCCTCTTCGTCGACCCGGGCGCTCTTCGGGCCCCAGCTCTTCTTCGACTTGGTGGGGTTCTTCCCGCCGGCGGCGGAGGCGGAAGGGGGCTCGTGGGCCGCGGCGGCGGCGCGCGCTTGGGCGTCGGCCTCGTCCATGCGCTCGCGGAGCATCTCGGCGTAGAGCGAGGAACGCTTGAGCAGGAACTCGAGCCGCTTGAGGCGCGCTTCGGCTTCGGCATCGAGCGCCTCGGGGACGGCGTCGTCTTCGTCTTCGTCTTCGTCTTCGGGGGGAGGCGTGGACGCCCGGGTCGACTGCGTGTTCTCTCGCGGTCAGGCCGAGGCGAGGGAGGGCGTTTAAAGCGTTTCGTAAAAAAACGTACGTTGTTCTGGTCTACGTCCATCCATTCGGAGTCGCCGCCGTCGGTGGAGGCCGGAGGCGAGGAGGCTTGTGCGCTGCTCGCGCGCGTCGGGGCGGAGGACGACCTGGCCATGTTTCAAGGTGGAAGAGGCGGGGTGTCCTTGGAGGGTTATATGCGTGCAAGATTCGCGGTTCGGGGTCTGGATGGCGGGAGGAGGTGGGGAGCCAAGCTCTGGAGAAAGGAGCGGGGACGGCGGATGAGACCAACCGCGACGGACGACGCGCAGAGTCCAACGCGCTCCGGCAAATGTTCATTAGGCTCACGGGCACGTGAGGGAATACGAGGTGGCCTGCCCTAGGGTGGAACGCGTTTCGACCATGTACTCATGCATCACTTGGAGTCTGGGCATGTGCCAAAAAAAATCAGGCTACTTACATGACCCAGACTCGGTCTTTGTGTATACAGTCTTTCATGCTGCGGTGCTGCCCTGTCTACAGGCCGTATGAAGTTCGAAACAGACGCATTGTTTCGGCGTGTTAGCTTAGCACGCGCATAGCGCGCTGCTGCCGACTTTATATAGGGCCATATGCATCTTCAACGGAGGCGCGTTCTGCTCATTGACCCGATCGACTACGACAAAGCGGTCGTCCAGATGGGCACGTGTCTATCCCTCATCGAGGATACGGGCAGTCAGTACTTTAGTCTCTACCTGGTCTCTACCTGAGGTTTACGCTAAATGGGGGGATGCTCCAGCGGGAACATACGTCGAGATCAAGCGCGACGACGGCACGCCGGTGGCGAGCGTTGGATTGGGGAAAGGTCGCGAGTACCGGGTGCCGGTCCAGCTCAACACCACGTACGACATCACCTTCCATCAGGGCGCTCGTACCGTGACCAAACGGTAAGACAAGCTTCCAGCTTTACCGGTCCGCATGCGTGACGTCGATGGCCCGCGCAGAGTGTTCGTCGGAACCATGCACACGCAGATGGCTACTTCGTCCATCTTCCACGAAGAGGTGAACGGCGGTGTCGCTTCGTCGACGGGTCTAGCGGCTCGTCCAGGTACCGAGGCCGAGACCGAGGAACGGGCCAAGTCGTGCTCAGAGCCGTCTCCTAAGCTTCCGGTATACAGGTATGAGGCGGTCCAGGGGCGAACTGTCGATCGCAGACTCATCCATCGGCAGTCCCTCGGATGGCGAGCCGTGGTCAACAGCTGTAGAAGAGCTGACGACCGCCAGCGACGGCGAATTCGAAGAGCTCGAGGCGATCTGGCAAGCGCATCCTGGGTCGGGAAGATGACTGCTGGGTTGGGTTTTTATGAGCTTAGGATCCGTTTCGAACCGTTGCACAGTGATTATTACCGCGGCGCCGTCTCGCCGCGCTTGCGTGCGACGCAGAGTAAGTATGACACGGGGAGGCTCTTGTACGTTTCGTAACATGTATCCGGTCGCCTCGTTCCGCCGGAAACCGAAAAACGCGCGCCGTTTTGACCGGTGGCGATGCGCGGACGAGAATGCGTCGTCGGCGGTGTCGTGCGGCTCGTTCTCCCCGACGCCGGCGCCGACACCGGACAAGCATCGGTGGGTCTTCTCTTGCCCCCCGGCGTGGACGGGTTGTCGCGATGAGCTCCGATCCTCACGGAGGCGTCAACGCGCCCCTCCGCTGCTGCTACACCGCCCGAGCGTTCCCGTTCGAACCGCGACCCCCATGGCAGCACCGACGAATCACTGGGTCGTTAGCTTCAGCTCGCCGCGGGGGCGTATATAAACCGAGCGGGCGAAGGTCGAACGACACGAAAGTCGAGTCTCTGAATTTGATAGTGGTAAGTAACGTGATTGGCCACTCCACACCTCTCTCTCTCTCTGTGTGTGAGAGACTCTCTCCTCTTGACATTTGTCCGTGCCGTTCTCACATTTTGTAGCCCCTCGTCGACGACCCAGGAAACGTACGCATACGATGCTGCCGCCGTACGCCGCGCCGCCGCAGGACGAGTGCTATGCGCGGGAGATCGCCGCCGCCGCCAAAGGATCGCGACACATCCTCGATCTCCCGTCCGAGATCCTCGTCGCCATCCTCGCCCACCTCGACTGGCGCGAGATCTGCCGCGCCAACCTGGTGAGCCATCCATCTTTAAAACCCCCTACCATCTCACCCATCTCTCTCTCTCTCTCTCTCTTTCTGTCTGTGTTGGCTGAGTATCTGTGGGACAACTCCAGGTCTGCCGGACGCTGCACCACCTCATCGCGCACACGCTCGAACTGCGCTACCTCGTCGAACTCGGCGCGGACAACATGCTCCCGACCCCCGACCCTTCCTCGACGCCGATGCCGACCTACCTCCGCCTCGCCCGCCTGCTCGAGCGGCGCCGCGCGTGGAGCACGCTCGCCTGGTCGCCCGCGTCGCCCGCGCGGGTCCAGCTCCCCGGCCCGTGCGCCGCGTACGAGCTCGTCGGCGGCATGTTCTGCAAGTCGATGAAGCGCGGCGAGCATAGCCATTTCGTCGCGTGCGAGCTTCCGTCTCGCGGGGATAACGTCGAGGGCGAGGACGAGGGCGAGGGCGTGGGGGTAGAGGAAGAGGAAGAGGGAGGTGGGGGGAGGAAGACGGTGACGTTCGAGGACGTGGGGTTGTGCGCGCGCGATTTCGGGATCGATCCGAGCCAGGATCTGGTGGCGTTCGTGGAGGCGGAGGATCCTGGGTAAAGCGTTTTTTCCCCCCTCTCGTTAACCTAACCCGCTATTGATTCTGATCACGTCTGTTTCTGTGTCTTTTTCTCAACTCAGGTTCTTCAACGCGTCGCATGCGGTCGTCATTCATCTGCGCACGATATCGGGGAACAAGGACCATCCGGAGGCGCAGGTGCCCGTGTTGTGCTGCCCGACGCCGTTCAGCGTCACGCAGGCGTTCATCCAGGTCTGCCACGACGTGATCGGCTTTTTCTTTTGGGGCTCCGGGCCGGGGCTCCTCATCTGGAACTGGAAGACGGGGTGCCTTCTCGTCGTACGTTATCGCCCCTTCCCCCCCCTCTTCCCCTTTTACTTCCCTTGTCTCCTCGTCTCGCATTTTCTGACTTTGTGGGCGTCATGTTGTGTTGTGTAGCACGGGATCGGGATCCACAGGACGCTGCCCGACCATACCTGGGACTTTGCCTTTTTGTCCAACAGGTCGTACATGCTGTCGAGCTTGAAACATTCCGGCGCGCTGCACCTCTTCACGTTCGACTCTCCCCCTCCGTCGTCTCCCTCCTCCTCCTCCTCCTCCTCCTCCTCGTCTTCTCCTCCGGCCCCGTCGGTTAGCCCCGTCGCGCCCACGCACGCCGCGACGCTGCACCTGCCCTCGATCCGGCCCGAGATCGCGGTGTCGAACCTGTCGACGCACGCCGGGCCCGTGTGCGCGCGAGGAAGGGGGAGGGCTTCGGACGCGTTCGTGAAGGACGCGCGGGCGCGGATCCACGTCGTGACGGTGCATTATGCGGGGATCGTGCCCGAGCCCGGGGAGCCGCGCGGGCGGTGGAGTCTGTTCGTGAGGAACGGGACGTTGGAGGGGTGGGCGATGCGCGGGCGGGGATGCGGCGATGGGATCGGTGGTGAGGTGGAGGGTGGAGGGGGCGCGTTGCAGGTGCCGTGGGAGGAGTGGGGGCCGCGCGAGACGAGGGCGTTGGTGCCGCAGACGCCGTTCAGTTGGTTGAGGTATGTGGACGGGGAGAGGGTGGTGTTGCCCGCGGCGCCGGTGCCGACGACGTCGCTCGAGGTCGTGCGCGTGCTTGATTTTAATGTGCGCCCGCGGCGCCCGGAGGCGCAGAGGGGGGTGGGCGAGCCGGGGAGTAGGACGGTGCATGTGGAGGAGGTGGTGGGGGAGGAGAGGATTTCGAGGGGGGAGGTGTGGGAGAGGGACGTGGTGACGAGCTTGCCGTACAGGATGGTGTCGACGGCGGGGTTGAGCGGGTATTCGGGCTTTATGATCGACGAGGAGAGGTTGGTGGGGATCAAGGTGCGCTTTGAGCGGGTTTTTTTTTGATTTTTGCTTGGGTGGACAGGACGCTGATCTTCTTCTTGTTTTTTTTTCCTCTTGCAGTCCTCGATCTCGAGCCAGGGCGACTTTGGAGATATCCATGTCTTCAATTTCTGATTCGTCGGCGAGTCTGGGACATTGGGCTTCTCTCTCTCTCTCTCTCTCTCTCTCCATCTCTCCATCTCTCCGTCTCTCCCTCGCTATTCCCCCTCTCTTTGTCTTTCTCTCTCTGGATCGCGTTTGGCCGGTCTTGTGAAATCTATTCTGGGCACTCGAGGGGAAGGATCGATCGGGACAGATTATGTAGCATGGGCAAGCCTTATCTCTACACCATTCTGTAGTTTGTATACGTGCAGCTATGGAGATACGCTGTCTTTTTCGAATCGTCGTTTGCGCGAGCTTTCCGCGTAAGTACTTACCGACTTTCACAACGTCGAACAGTTAGATAAGAGCTTCAGTAGTGACGCGTGGAAAATAAATAAATAAAAGCGTGATAACATAACCGGCCCCCGGCGATCAAAACTTCCGGACGGGACCATACCTCTTGTGATCGCGAACTTTGCCTTGGCGCTGGGACCAATTCATTCGACTGCGCGACGTTTCTATTTCGCCCACTCGCGCTTACGGGATGCATACGCAGCTGAACAATGTACAACACAATGTCCTTGGGCAGACCTCTGGGCAATCCTCGCGAGGGGAGGCGCGAGGATCCATATGAACCGATCAAAGCCATCTGGAGGTGTGGATACGCGAAGCAAGGGGCAGAACGGTTGAAGGGAAGGGAAGTTCAAGGGGAGTATGGACCTTATCGGGTCCCCTTCGTCCGAAGCAGAGTTTCCCTATCTCGCGGGTCAAAACTCCACGGAGAAGGGTTCCCTGATCTGCGCCTCCCAGCGTCTTTCCGTCCCTCCCTTCCCCTCCCCTCCCGTCGTGTAACGCGTAGAAGAAAGCAAGGATGCCGGACGTGGAGAAAGACTCGGCGACGCAGAACGGGGCCGCTACCGCCGTCGAGATGGAGAGCGACGAGGCGGAGCTGGCGAGGATGGGCTACAAGCAGGAGTTGCAGTGCGTGTTGTTCCCCGGCTTCCGAGTATTGGCCGGTCGCGTTCAGAAGGCTGACGGGGTTTCGATGTCGTTGGTGGGTATGTTAGCCGCGACTTGACGCTTTTGCAGGTGAGCCACCCCTCGAGCATCAACGCATCTGTTCATCGCCCGGTCCCCTTATCTGACGCTGCGGTGCATACGTAGAACTTTGGTGTCAGCTTTTCGATTATATCCGTCATCACCGGGATACCCTCGCTCTTCTTATATGGTCTGGTGAGTGTCGCGTGCTACGTCAACCGCATGGCGTGCTCAGATTGTGTGAACTGCTAGACTACGGGGGGCCCGGTATGTTATAATCACCACTATCAGCTCTCTCTCTCGCGTGTCTTTGGACCTCATTCGAACGTCATGTTAGGCGGTCATGGTGTGGGGATGGGTCGCTGTCGCGTTCTTCACGATGTGCGTCGGGATGGCCATGGCTGGTACGTTCTACCGTCCATGTTCAGGTCCGGGCGCCATCACCGCTCTGAACGAACCCTGTTACAGAGGTGTGCAGCGCCCATCCTACCAGCGGAGGTCCGTATTTCTGGGCGGCCATGCTGTCCCCGCCCGAACGCGCCGCTTTTGCCTCCTGGGTGACCGGTATGTGCTCGCCTCGCTTAACCGGAAGGTTAACAGATCCGTGCACTAGGCTGGTTCAACTTGCTCGGACAAGTGGCCGTCACCACCGGTATCAGGTGCGTATGGACGTCTCCGAGAAGATCGTGAGGGGGCTCACCCGGCGTCTTAGCTACGCCTGCGCCAACTTCATCTCGACCGCTGCGAGCCTCGGCACGAGCTTCGAGCCCAACTCGCACACCGTGATCGGGGTCTACGCCGCAGTCCTCATCGCACAAGGTCCGCCCGTCGTTCTTTCCCTCCCTCCTCTGACAAAAAAAAAACGCGCTCGTGACTGACACGATATCTTACCTTCGTTCGTCGCGACACGTATAGGCCTTATCAACACCTTCGGCGTGCACCTCCTCAAGTACCTCAACAACATCTCCGTCTGGTGGCACGCCATCGGCACGACCGCGCTCGTAATCGCCATCCTCGCCGCCGCGCCTAAACACCAGTCGGCCAAGTTCGTGTTCACGCAGTTTATCGACGGGACGGGCGTCGACGGCGTTGGGTGGGGCACGCGCGCGAGCCATGCGTATGTCGTGGTGATCGGGATTTTGATGGCGCAGTATACTTTGACCGGTACGTTGCTCCGCTCGTTCGGGGACTCGAATATACGTGCGATCGAGGTGCTCATGGTTCGCATGCAGGGTTCGATGCTAGTGCTCACGTAGGCTTCGTCGATATCGTCTGTCCCGCGTCAAGTCTGATCCCCGAATATAGATGACCGAGGAAACGCATAACGCGGCGTATGTTTCTGTCCCCGCCGTATTTACCGATATCGGATACTGATGAGCGGCGTAGTATGTCCGGATCGCTGGGAATCATCATGGCCATCGGCGTCTCGGCCGTACTCGGGTGGTTCCTCATCCTCGGCCTGCTGTTCTCCATGCAGGACTACGACGCCACTGTCGCGTCCGCGACCGGTCAGCCCGTCACGCAGATCTTCCTCGACACCGTCGGCGAGAAGGGCGCAATCGTGTTGATGGTGCGCTCCTTTCCTCTGCTTTTTTGTGTGAGGGCAGCGGTAACTTTGAGCGTGAAGGTCATCGTCATAGGCGCCATGTTCTTTTGCGGGTCAGTGGCGTTCTGATGGGGCGATAAGAGGCGAAGCTGAGAGCTCTTGATTGGACAGGACGTTCTCGATCACCTCGAATTCGCGGATGATGTACGCCTTCTCCCGAGACGGCGCTATACCCGGTATGTGGGCGCGCGCTCAACTCTGGAAGGCGTCCTTTGCTTACATCGGGGGCTTCACCGCAGGTCACAAGTTCTTGGCGAAGGTTTCCGCCAGGACGCGGACGCCGATCCGAACAGGTGCGGCGAGTCCCGAGTTGCTCGGATTTGCGTGCTGAAGCGTCGTGGCAGTTTGGCTCGCTTGCACGCTGAGCTTCATCCTCGGCCTCCCCAGTTTGGGCAGCGCCGTCGCGTTCTCCGCCGCCACGTCGATAGCCACCATCGGCCTCTACATCTCCTACGGTCAGTCTGTCCCCCCTCCCTCCCCCCCCCCCTCCAGCTCTCTCCTCTTCTTCCGCCCTTTTTCCAGGTGCTGACACTCGTGCCGGTCTTCCAGCGATCCCGATCGCGCTCCGGGTCATCTACCGCAAACACTTTGTGCGCGGGCCCTTCCACCTCGGCGCGTTCTCCTACCCCGTCGCGCTCATCTCCGTCACCTGGATCGCGTTCATCGCCATCGCGTTCATCCTCCCCGCCGAGAACCCGGTCTCGTCCCAGACGCTCAACTACTCGATCGTCGCGGTCGGGATCGTGATCACGTACAGCATGGGATTCTGGCTGCTCAGCGCGCGCAAGTGGTTCATCGGCCCGGTGAAGCAGATCGAGGGCGAGGCGAAGGGGATCGACGTCGTCGACCAGGGCGTGATGGAGAGCGAGAAGGAGCGGGAGATGAAGAATCAGTGAGAAGCTCTCTAAACGCTGTTCGGTGGCCAGACTCGAATAAGCCTCTGAAATTTTATTTATGTTGGGTCGTAGGACATCGTGTACATGTGTAGACTTGCTCTGTTTTTAGACGCGCGTGCTGGGTCTCGTTTGCACGATGAACCCGACGCGAAGGATGGCCGGCGTGGTCCGTTGCGACTACGCGGTGATTGGGTTGATTTCCATGGCCGGTGGTGGTTATGCCTCCCGGATATAGCTGGTGATGTTTCAGTAGTCCTTGATTGCATCGCTGCTAGTGGACAGCATTCATGAGACAAGATTATGTTATTAACGTCTGCGCTCGATTCATGGGGAGCGGTCAGAGCCCATCGGCCCTTCTTTTGATACTCCCGTTCAATCTCGACAGCTGCATAACATGGTGGAAAACCTTCAGGCCAAGTACGCAGCCAGAGACAGGGGCTTCACCATGCGACGCTGAGCTAGGCATAGTTGTCTCTTCTGTAGGATCATCCAAGGCACGCTGCCGTGCGCCAAGCTCCTGGAAACCGACAAGACGTCAGTATATCTAGTCAAAGGGATGGATATTAGTACCGTCGTGCTCACACGTACCGCTTGACTTTGGCCAGCCTTGTCTTCCTGGATATCGGGCCTGTCTCGGAAGGACATGCGTTGATCATTCCGAAATGTGAGCACCGAGAAACTGCCATCCCACGAAGTTTACCGTGAGCTCGGTTCGAAACGTATGCGTAGTTCACGGCCAGAAGATGCACGATGTGCCCGACGACTATCTCCAAGAGATCCTACCGATCGCGAAGAAAGTGGCCTTAGCCATCGGCGCAGACGACTATAACATCTTGCAGGTGGGTAGCGTGCACGGACCGCATCCTCTCATACTCAACATATACAGAACAACGGCAGACTGGCTTTCCAGGTGAGCGGAGCTGGTTAAAGAGCCCCGCAGCGCATGCCGTTGACCGTGACCACGTTCCAGCATGTGATGCATGTGCATTTCCACGTCATTCCAAAGTACGACAAGGCTACGGGACTCGTAATCAACGAAGAGACGTGGCCACGAGTAGAGGTCGGCATCGATGGGTTAAGAGAGATCCAGCAGAAAATCACGGCGAAACTGGAAGTAAAGAGCGAGGAGGAACCAAGCCCGGAGTAGCGTGGGAATACTGGTAAAGGGGGGGAGGATAGCCACAACCTCCCTGCTTTGCTCCGTCATGTCGCTTCTCTGCCTTCTCATGCCAGAACAACTCGTTGGAAGTTCGGCGCTCCATAGTGTCCGTGGTGGCGAACGACATGCGCGTTCTAGCACGTCAAGACCGGGTCTGGTCGAACCCGTTATGCCGTGACTGCAACGAGGCCGAAGAGCTGTCGTGGTCATCCAAACGTTCCTCTTATACCCTCGATCGCTGGACTGCGCATGAAACCTTCAGACCACATGCATCAGCGACGTACGTATCCTGTCAGAAAACGCGGCTGCATTGTGAGGTTTTGACATTCGGGAAGTCGCCGAACAGCAGTCGTCACCGGTTCTCCGCTATCAACTTGAAGGCGAAGGGGGGAGTGAGGGAAAGCGAATGTCCCAAATTACAGGGTATCATGCATCCACGATCACTACGTACACTCCTCTTTGCAAAGCAGACAGGACCAGAGTCCTGATCGCTCGAGCTCGTGTTGCACACGGCGCGGGCAAAATGCAGACCGACACCTTGGACACTTCTTTGTCCGTTATCACCCGGCCTTTCTTGCAACAATAACCTACTTTGTCAGGTGCAGATGATCTCAAAAATACCGATGACGCATCGATGTCTTCTCGACCGCTGATTTCTGACTTCATTATGTAGGCACACAGACCTCTACGGAGCATTCTCGTCGCCGTGATGCTCGAAGGTGTCGAACTGGCACCCTGGGGACAGCGGCTGGAGTACGGGGCTTCGAGAAAACTGCGTATGCATGGGGTCCGTTGACTTCGCCGATGGTCTGGAAGGGGTAGAGAGTTTGGAGGTATATAGGGCATCTCGCATTGCACTTGGGCCGTCAGTCATCGGATCCGCATCTCTCGCTATGTCTGACTCTGAACCTCAAGATCTTCACAAAGCGATCGCTGCGTGGTTTCTCGGCCCTCGCGCTGAGAACATGCAAGCTTTCATGACTATCCTCGGGGATGTTATGCAGGCTCATGCCAATACTCGCTTGGAGTACTACCCAGATGACCCGGTGAGCAGAGCTGGCCTCGCTGTAGCTGGCCTCGCTGCCTCATGATGGTCTTCTGATGACGCGCTCGTAGAACTTCATTGTGGATTCTATTCAAACTTCTGATCAGTATCGAGCGAGTATGGCGCATCTGCGCCGCGAGGTCGAGGGGATCAGCGCTGCCCTCAACAAATGGTCCATCCCATTCTTCTCGCCGCGCTACGCGGGTCATATGTGCATGGAAATGTGCGTGGTTCTTCCCATTCGCGAGTTTCTGACTAGGCTGATCTCAGAATGTTGCAGGTCATTGCCATCTATTTTAGGATGGATGGTGACAATCATGTTCAATCCTAACAACGTACGTGCACCAGGTTCATCGATCAACTATCAGTACTCATGGGCTTCCAGGTCGCCTATGAGGCCAGCCCATACACAACGCGTCTCGAGCTATATGTTGGCAAGCAATTGTGCAAGATGCTTGGCTATCCCGTCCAGCTCCCTCGTGACCCATGGACGGATGATCCAAACGCAAAGGCTAGTGACCCCTGGGGTCATATCGCCTGCGACGGTACTGTTGCCAACATGGAATCCATGTGGTCAGTGACCTAAATCCTCACTCGGTCCGAAAAGATGATGAATTACAGAACTGCCTTCTGTCGTTGCTGGTACAGGGCTGGTATGTGCAAAATCCACGGTCTCCCTGGACCCCTACTGATGAAACACACGTAGCTCGGAACTTGAAGTTTTACCCGCTGTCGTTGCATGCGGCGATGTCGGACGATGGACCCCTAGCGTGGATCGCCGACGACTTCACCATCCGAACTGCCACGAAACCATATGAGGATCAGCTCTTCATCAACCTCGACGAATGGGACCTCCTCAATCTTCCGCCCAACGAGGTTCTCGGCATCAGCGAGCGACTGAACGCTTCATACGGAATATCAGCCACATACCTGGCCAAGATTCTGTCGCCGTACTTGGTGCAGACGAGCGGCAAGGACGTCCTCATGCAGAAATACAAGATCACCCAGGAGCCGCAGTACCTGGCCGCGGCCACCAGACATTACTCCTGGCCGAAGGCTGCCGGTACGTGCATGGACTTGTGCCAGCGTTGTCGATCCTAACCCAAACCCCTTCCTCAGCCTTGATCGGAATCGGCTCGGAGAACTGTGTTCCAATTGCGGTCGATAATAACGCTCGTGCCGACCTGGACGATTTGACAAGGATCCTGGAGGAAAGGCTCGCCCGCAAGCAAGCCGTATACGCCGTCGTCGCTATCATTGGCTCCACCGAAGAAGGCTGCGTCGACCCTCTGGACCGCATCCTCAAGCTCCGCGATGACTTCGCCGCGCGGGGGCTCACCTTCATCGTCCATGCCGACGCTGCATGGGGTGGCTACTTCGCGAGCATGATCCGCGAACCGCACGACGTCCTCAAGATGCCGGCCGGAATGCCGCCGCCCGACTTCGACTATGTGCCCAGCGTCTCGCTCCGGAAAAGCACCACGGACCAGTTTAAGGCGCTGGCCAAGGCGGATTCGATTACCATCGACCCTCATAAGGCGGGATACATCCCGTATCCAGCTGGCGGGCTCTGCTATCGCGATGGACGAATGCGGTTCCTGCTCACCTGGACGGCGCCGTATCTGCAGCAAAGCAAGCAGGGCGAGAGCATCGGTATCTACGGAATTGAGGGCAGGTGAGAATTTGACCCACCAGAGGCGAAGGGCCCATGCACTGACGCTCGAGGCAGCAAACCGGGCGCTCCGGCGGCCTCCTGCTACATTCACCATCAGGTTGTGGGTCTTCACAAGGAAGGTCATGGCGCGTTGCTTGGCGAGGTGTCGTTCACCTGTCGGAGGGTGAGCCGTCTCTTCCCTCCTCCGTTTCAGGAGTATGCTTACGAGTCAAACAGTTCTCTGCGCATTGGGCCGCGATGTCGGACAAATCGACGGATTACATTGTCGTCCCGTTCAACCCGCTCGTTCACGATGGAGACGAGGATAAGATGGAACAGGAGAAGAGATTCATCCGCGAACGGATCCTCGGGAAGACGAACAGGCAGATCGTCGCGGACCGGGAGGCGATGGACGAGCTCTGCGCGCTTGGCTCGGACCTGAACATTAACGCGTTCACCTGCAATTTCAGGATCAATGGGAAGGTCAACGAGGACGTCGAGGAGGCCAACTATCTAAACAAGCGGATTTTCGATCGTCTGAGCGTGACGGAGCTGGAGAAAGATCCAAGGGACGTGCCGCTTTTCCTTAGCTCCACTGTCTTCGGGCAGGAAGAGTATGGGCAATGCGCCAGACATTTCCAGAAGTGCGTCGCATCGCTGATACGAAGATTTTCCTTCACTGACCTTGGTTGTGTAGACGCCTTGGACTGGAGACGGAGTCGAAGCAGGACTTATACGTCTTGCGTAACGTGGTTATGTCACCTTTCCCCACCGGCGGTGATTTCGTCGACCGCGTTATCGCGGATGTGTTCATCGAAGTCCTCAAAGAGGAAGTTCAGGTGGGCGCTCTCGGACATAATGCTCGTGTATCGTGTATCGAAGGTGTTGATGACATTGCAGCGCGTGGTGAAGAGGAACACGGTGGTTCCCGCTGTTCATCAGTTCGTCCTCCAGGGCAAGAACAAGCTCTACCTCGTTTATTGCCCTCAGTTCTATCACGCCAACGGTCGCTCTCAGCTCATCCTCAGCGGCACCATCGACTCCGACGCCTTCATGCAAGAGTATCGCAAAGTCAGAGACCTTCACCCTGGAAACGCGTTCACCATAAAGACCGCGGACGCGGTCGTCCTCGAGGATGTGCTGAAGGCCGGAGAGTTCAACGCGAAAGTTAATGGCCCGTGAGTGATTCGTCGCTAGAATGTTGGTTCGTCTCCTAACGTTAATTATCATCGTCCATAGTGTGATCTGGGGCGTTGAGTTCCGGGTCATCAACCTTCAAATCGTCAAAGATCGCAGCCTCTTGTCCAAATACCGCGACACGACCTACCCGGTCGATAGTACGCCTTTTTACCTCTACGGAACTACGACAGAGCACCATATCGACCATATGCTTTTACGTGCCCCCAACACCCAAATCTCGTCGGGCCTGGTCACCCTGGACGTTCGGCCGCCTCTTACCGCAGACCAGCTATCGCGTGGCGTCATCGCGAAGGTGAAACGATCCGAATTGGCCATGCAGCCTTTCGGCGCGGAGACCGACCCGAAAGCGATCTTCGCTCCGGCCACGGAGTTCAAGGTTGTCGTGTACCACGATAAGCATGAGCCGATCGCTCACGGACCGAACCTCGCCAACGTCGACGGAGAGAAGGTGCTTGCGGAAGGTACGATCAAACTCGGTAACTCGGTGTGGGTTGACACGGACGGCCCGAACGCGGAGGATACCTCGGATCCGTCGAAGCAGGCCAACAAAGCGTTGGAGCACAAGGTGCTGAAGAAGTGGCGCGAAATATACGCGGAGCTCTAGTCTCCATTTACAGTCGTGTCACCATTCTGCAGTTTGGTTGTCGTGATGTGTCCAGGTCACTCGTGTGTACGATACTAGGTAGTAGCGTTACTTTTTCGACCATAAGTTCAACCCCACCAAACCACCAAACCTTTCGGTTTATTTGCCCAATTACTGACCGTGGGATAATTATGGCTTGATCGTGGGAGTGTAACACTGATCGAGGATCTCTTGGGGAACTTCCTACGGACTTACGGTCGAAAAACTACAGTGTATGAACACACGCTCTTCGTACACGTTGGCGTCCCGAATCAGATCTCGACTGGTTCTCACACGGCAGTCTCTCACAGATCAGGCCTAAGTACTCATTCATGGTCGAGCAGAATAGTAGATCACCTCGGCATCTGCAATCATAGTCTCTCACGGGCTTGATTTCAGACACTGAAAGGACCGTTTCTGATGGCGATGGGTGTTTGTCACTACTGGCGACTGTGCATCATCCCCCCACCAGCCCCATGGATCTCTGCCCTGAAGAGATCCTCTTCGCCATATTTAGCATTGCCTGCACGGACGATGGCACCACCGGCCGCGCACTCTCTATCACGTCTCGCCGCGCCCGTCGCATTTCCGCACCTTTTAAATACCGGTCCTTAGCTCTCAATGGCGTGGCGCAGGTCAAGGCCTTCGCCAAGCACCTCAGAACGATTAAAGCGGTCGAGCAGGACCTGGATCGCACAGCATGCAGCGTGGAACATCTCCTCGTCATGAAGACACCGCGGCCTTTGAAGTCGGTGCCGGAGCCGAGTGCTGCTGCTATGAATGCTGACCTCAATCACACCACGGACGAAGAAAGTTGTTATCGACCCTCCACCGAAGACCCCGTTTTGGGGGCGGCGACCGGCGCTCCGCTAATACCGTACCGTGCCACACTATACCATAATGACGAAGTTGCTGCTGGCTTCGAGTTATCATCCCTGCTCGCTCTCGTCGCGCCAACCTTGCGCACACTCTTCACGGACTTCGACGTATCCATTTGCTCGGCCGCGGACGGCCCTATACCCTATATTTCCTTTCCCCGACTGGCCGCCTGTTCCATCCTGACCGCCAGCTCCGTTTGCTACCGCCCGCCGTTCGGGTCCCCGGAGTGCCTCCCCATGCTCACCCACCTCCATATCACGAACTGCCCTATCATCGCTGCGGAGGGGTCCAGCCGCTTCGTCACCGGCTTCTGGGGCGACCTCGCCATGTCTCCTCTGAACGCCGCGCTTTCGCACCTCCGCATCTCCGGCGTGCAAGCGGGCGCGGAGGAGATCTACCGTGGCATCTATCGTCTCGATGCCCCGGACGAGGCCGACCTCGCGCACGCCGCTCCTGCATCGTTCCGCAAGATGAGGGTGTCGCAGCTGCACGCCCTGCAGCACGCCCTGCAGCACGTGTGGGTCGAGCCTTCCCCGGACGCGCACGATAGGATAGAGGATGAGATACGCCTCCTGGCCGAGCAGGTGCCAGGGACGCAGGGAGGTGGGGAGAAGTTCGCGCTCTTGAGGCCGAAGCCAAGCGGGTATGACGAGGACCAGATGAAGACGGACTGGCTGAGCTTCGTCGCCGGCGGCGATGGGCCATGGCCTGCGCATAAAACCACTGACGCTTGGCGCTAGCGGTCGGAGTGGCGGCTTCGCACCACCGGTACAAGTTACCCTGACGCAGGCAAACGTTTTGAATATCTAAAAGTCGTTAGTTTGTCGTGCTACGTATAATGTGTTACTTGGTTCTGCTGAGCGATACAGCCAATCTGGATGCGTTATGACCGCGTTCTGCTCACAGCCGGGAACGAGCAAGTTTTAGAACGTTAACGTTCCGCTGCGGATCATAACGAGCGAAAGTGAGGGAAAGATCGAGTAGAAGAGTAACAGCACGTTTGGCTTTCAATGCGCAAGTCCACCTTCAGTATTGCAGCACGACTGGGTGGTCCTGATACACCGCTAGTGAGAACCTGTCCCACATGGCCTCGATAGGCCGTCCATAAGCTGCAGGAAAACGGCTACAGCGCGTATGAATGGGCTACTTTCGTGCACGTAGGAGCGTGAACGTCGCGGGGGTACCGGGGAGTGGATGGGATAATGTGGGTGTCCTAACGACGTGCGAGGCGAGGAGGAAGTTCCGGTCTTCATAGATTTTCATGGGCGCGCATCATAATCTCCCGTACGATTTGTTGATGTTTTACGTTCACTCCTACGGTACGAAGGAAATGAGAGATGACCGGCAGAGCAGAGCTTTGGCTGCGGAGGGCGCGAAACGAGAAGGGTTGGGTGGCGGTGCTGGCCACGAGGCACTCAACCATCATCACGTGGGCGTGGCGTGTCATTTTTACGTCTTGCCCATTGTTCCGTGACTTGTCGCGGGATCGGCTGCGCACTGTCTCCTGTCCTCCATCGTCTCCGCTGGTCTCAACGTCCGTCGTCGTTTACGGCGCCCCTTCCGCCATCCTATTCATCGGGCACCTCGGCGCTGCGCAGCTGAATTACAACCAAATTGTCCGCACACGTCGGGCCACCCACGATTTCCTAATCGGGCAAACAAAGGTGCTGGCCACAAAGCCACCCACCGCGACTCAGCTATAAATCGCCGCTGTACCCGGGCTCGTCTCTGACTCTCGCCGCGACGAACCCCCCCAAGTTCACTGCCTTGCTCAAAGGATATCTGCAGACTCCTCCACCGCTTCTTGTTATCCTTCATCGACGACCACGGCCCACGAACGAACTTCTGTACTAGTAACCTGAACTGCATTCTATCACGATGGCTCTCTCGCTGCCTCGCACGCCTTCGGTCGAGTGGATACAACCCGGCGTTGCCTCTCCGAGGACCCGCGCGACCCCGACGGGATCGCAGCGGAATGTTACAGACAAAGGCAAAAGTAAAGCGAGTTCAAAGGACCAGATCAAAGGCAACGCCAGTTCCTCCTCCAAGGACAAAGGCAAGGGGAAAGCGAAGGCCCAACCGGCGCCTCAGGCGTCTGCGCAAGAGCTCACCGCACCGGTCCCGTCGTCGGCCACTCCGGCCGCACCGCCCTCGACCCGCTCAACCCGCAGATCCGCATACAGCCACACCCGCCGCGCAGCGTCCCGCTCCGCATCCGCATCTACCTCCCTCACCGCATCCACCTCCACCTCCACCCCAACCTCAACCCCCACCTCCGCCTCTTCCGCGCTCCCGGGCTGGCCCTTCCCGTACACCCAGACCTGCGCCCCACCCCCGGACCCCGTCGACGGCACCTGGCGCCCCTCGGCCGGCATCGTGCACCAGTTCCTCTCCACCGGCTTCTCCATCCGCCAGCGGCTCGACTCGGCCCTGATCACGGACCCGACCGACGTGCGGCTCCAGACGCAGTGGGGCCGGACGGGCTGGAACGCGCTCAGGGTGTACGACGAGTACGTGCGCCGCGGCCGGCGCGTCGTCCCCATCGGCCTGGAGGACATGCAGGCGATCGCGACCTCGGGCCCGAGGACGCCGTTCGAGGTCCTGTGGCGGCGGTGGCAGGAGGAGACGCGGTGGGCGGAGGAGAAGGAGGAGCGGCGGCAAAGCCAGAGCGGCGAGGAGCGGGCGACGGCGGCGGAGGAGGAGGAGGAGGAGGAGGAGAGGGAGCGGGAGGAGCGCAGTCGCCGCTCGCCGAGCCCGACGTGCACGGAGAGGACGGAGCCGGACGTCGTGGAGAACACGCAGGCGGACGCGTGTGCGGAGGCCGCCGCGCTCGGGATCAAGGTGTGCGACTACGCGTACGAGGGCGAGCGGCGCACGCAGACGACGTTCAAACGCGAGCCGAGGGACCACGAGGAAGAGGAAGAGCTCCTCAAGTGAGTGTCGCGATATATACGCGCATATATACATATCATCTTCGATGCTGTGATCTGACCTTTTCTTTCCCTGGCTCGTAGCTGGTTCAGGTTCTTCTGCTCCCGTGGCGCTTCGTCGTCGATCGAAAACCCGACAGATCCCGCCCCCTCAGCAGCAGCAGCAGCAGCAGCCACAGTCGCTCTCACAGACCCATCCCCCGGCTCGTCCGGCGGTCCCTCCACCTCGTCATCCTCCGCGCCCTCCTCCTCCTCGCCGCTCAAACGCAAGAGCGAAGAACCCGCCGAACGCGACCCCGGCTCGCCCAAGCGCCGGCGCCTCCCGCCGCCCCCGCGCACGCCCTCGCCCTCGCCCCCGCTCCCCCACTCCCTCTCCTCGCGCGCCCTGGACCGCAACCGCAACCGCAACCGGTCCCAGCCCAGCCTGCCCGCGATCGACGCGGCCGCCGGCGGTCTGCGGAGCGTGCCGGTGCGGAGGCGGAACAGCATCACCTCGCCGGACCGGTCCCGCCGCGATCTGGCGACGGTGGAGGAGACGACGGAGACGCCACCGGCGAGCCCGGGCGCGGGCGTCGACGAGCTGCCGCTGCTGTCCCAGTTCCAGGGGAGCCGGTACGGTCTCTCGCACAGCCAGGGCTCTAGCCAGAGCCAGAGCCAGAGCCAGAGCCAGGGCAGCCGGCCGTCGCAACGGCGCGGACTAGGAAGGACACAGACGCTGCTGCAACTCTGAGGAGACCGCCGTCGAACCGAAGGGCGAAAGGGCGACCGTCCGGCGCGCGGCAACGAACAACGTTCGTCGTCGTTCGTGAAGTCGAAACGAGAAATGCCGAAAAGCCAACGAACGGAAACATCAAAAGGTAAATATTATGAGAAGGACAACTGGCCATCAATCTGTAAACTGCTTGCAAACAATCGACAACGCTACGTACGATACTGGAGAGGGAGAAGAAGGGGATTTAATCGTCCGTTATTCTTATTCGGTCATGAAGAAACGCTCGCGAAAGGGATGATGTTGTAATTTTGAAGCTTTGAGGTTAACCTGTATCGAGCAGACTAGTATAGGACTAGCAGTAGTTAGTTATTCGTAGAGCTATCCGATGTACGACGGAGGTGGATTGCAAGCAATATCATTCGTGTTTGTCCAACAACGGCATGCGCATACATTCTAAGGGCCTGTACCTGTTCGATAACGTACACCGGTCAGCGCTGGCGTTCCTTCACTACTTCTGCTTCCGCGGCAGCGCCTTCCACCCTGTCCTCAGCCCCTTCTTCTCGATCACCGCCGCTGGCATGCAGTACACCGGGTCGAGGTCGACCAGGCCGGGGTAGCCTACGAGCGAGAGTCCGGCAACGCCGAAGACAGTGTGGAACACGTCCACCATGTTGTCTGGTCGGTCGGCGATACCACCCTGTTCCGGATCCTGGGAGCGATGTCACCGTCAGCGGTCGAGAGGAGTAAGAGGAAGGCTGTACCTGAGACGAGAGGATGAAGGACGTGAGCTTGTCGGCGTCTATCCAGGAGAGCTTTCCCAGGATCGAGAGCGAAGAGAGCACCCAGAAGCTGTAGCAAACCTGCGTACGCGGGAGTAGTCAGGATATGAGCGGAAATGAACGACGAAGGCCCACGTCTTCTAGCTTCTCGGGCCGCCCGTTCAGCCCGCCGTTAGGGAGCTGACGTTCGGATAGCCACCATGCGCAGGTGTCGCGGTCCAGGCAGGACGGATCGTTCAAGGCGCCGAGCACCGCTAGCGTGCCGGTGCATACGAAGACTGCGATAGCAGGTTCATGATTTCTAAGTATCCCGGAATTCACAACATGGTAAACGTACCTTGAGCAGCATGCGATTCGGCATCGATCTTGGATCCGAACGCGCCGTCAAAGTTTCGGCACTTGCGCGTGTAGTCCAGAATCCTGAGAAGATCGTTGTTTAGCTCGTTATCCTTCGAGGGGGGAAGAAAAGGGTGGCACGCACTTGGCTTTCCTGGTTTCGGGGTGTGATTCGGAGGTCGATGGGTACGGCTTGTCGAGCTCGGAAAGTCGGCCGAGGAGGGCGAGGGAGAGGACGGAGCAGTGCGTGAAACGCGTGTCGGTTTCGCCGAAAGAGTCGCCGGAGAAGACGCCGGCAGGTGTTTGGCGGTCGAGGATGACTGGTGAAGTGCGTCAGAAAGCGTCAGCCTACTCGAAGTTAGGCCTCGATGGAAGACCGCAAATTCGCGTGGGTGGATTGTGGGGAGTAAAGATGGCGAATGGGAGTGTGCGATGATTTGGTGGCTCACATTGGACGACACGCTCTGTTCTTTCAGGGGATAACCTATCAAGCGCGTCTTGGATGACGAGGATCTGTATACCACTCAGGGTTGCGAGTATATGGGCATCATGGGACGGGTGGGCACCAAACGCTCCTGAAATGCATCATGATCAGTAAGATTGCAAAGAACGAGGGGTAGGAGGGTAGGGATATTGCGGTAGATGGAACTATATGGATGTACCTGCCTGCGTCCTCATCCCAACACGACAACACAAATTGTATCATCTCTTCTCGGTCCAGTGCGTCTTGATGTCCCATGATGCATAAAGCAGTCAAGCCCCAGTAGACGGCGTTCAATCGGAGATGGGACGTGAGGTGATACAGAAGATCGTCTTTCGCCTGCATATGCAAATCATTCGATACACGGTGCGGACATGACGACTGCCCAGGACACGCACTTTCCCAAGATTTTGTATGTAAGAGACGTGCAGGGGAATCAGGAGTTCATGGGCCATCTCGAGCGGGTAACAAGCAAGTGTCAGAGGAATGAGGACGGTGCAAGGAGACGGTCGAGACACGAGATACGTAAACCACACTGCCGTTGCGTTTGAGTCACCGCCCTACTGTCAATCCGTGAACGACACTGGATTTCCTGTAGGCTTCCTATGATCGCGCGATGTAGCCGAGTAGATGGGATAAAGGGACGGATCAGTAAAGGGTGGACTACTAATATCCGTAGCAGTGCAACCCTTGCACCCCTTACACGAGTAGTGCTCGATTCGCATCGCTGCAGTAATACTTCACATCGCACATTCCGAATACTATACATTCACTCGATCCCGCATTTGCATGAGTATATCATAATCCGTGCGCGAGTTCAGATCGCCTCTGCTAGGATGTGTTTGAAGATGGAACCCGGAGAGGTATAAACATGGACGATCTTCCATCCGGCCTCCTTCGCGCAAGCATAGTGGTTGGCCAGGGTCCGCTCTTGTCCTCCAATGGCAAACATCTGCAGGCGAAGGCACAACATCAGAAGAGATTACCCAAGGGAGAGACGCAACGTGCCTGGAAGTCGCCAAGGTATGCCGGCGAGTTCGCCTTCCCGAGGTTGGGTAGCAGAGGTTCTGGCACAGGAGGAGATACCGCTCCCGGGATGTTGCGCAGCTCGCTGTCATCCTCGCACGCGTATGCGACGACCTGGTCGACCAGAAGTAGCCTGGTTTTCCCGGCAGCAGCAGCTTCCCGCAGACGTTTCAAAATGCGGACTGCGTATGCCCCCGGCCAGTCGTGGATCACTACACGAAGCATGAACAGATCGGCGTCCTTGACGGGTTGCGGGTCGAAGAAACTATGCCCTGGTGACTCGTGAGCTGCAGATTGCCATGGAAAAGCGGCTTATTTACCTTGTAGCGTGACCCTCCCTGATTGGAGCGCTTCTGGGTAATTGCTGGCCCAGAACTAGGACAAGGATTAGATACCGTTTGTATCAAAGTTGCGTCCAATATGTTCCACGTACCTCCTTCCCAGACTTTTCGACGACGTTGGGCAAGTCCTGAACCACCAAACGGAAGCTAGGAAACTTCTTCGCCACCGTCATGGAGACAGACCCAATACCACCACCAACATCTACCACCTTAGCGTCGGACGGCAGGGTTTCCCAAGGGAAGCCTGGAAATGCAATGAGCCCACGTATCCCATGGGGTCCGATGGATGACTACCTCGAAGGATAGATTCTCCGTCGTCTAGTTTGTTCACTCCGTCCATCGCGATGTTGAACCGGATGCCCCGGAGCCGATTTTCGGGAGCCTGGAGCCATTCGAAAACGGGTGTCTTGGTGTTGAAATAACGATTGAACGGGCTGTCTGTCGGCTCCTGGGAATGAGCAGTCTTCGGATCGGTCAAGGTCTCCGCTGTGAGGCAGGAGCTACGGAACACCTCGTCCGTGCTAATAGGAGCCCACTTAAGACATATCCGGATTTGCTCGCGACAACAAACGTACGTGTGCTCGATCAATGCCGGGAAGCCAGTCGTGCCGATATGTTTCTCCGGCGTCCTTCACCCGTACGTTGAGTAATCCAATACTGCTACACGGACAACCGAGACTCACTTCATAGATGTGGGCTTCAATGTATCCAGAATGGACGACAGGCGGTTGTGGGCCCATACGTCGGGGTGGACTTCCCGAAACACGTGGTGCGTCGCAAGTAGGCGAAGACATCTCGCTATCAATACGATCAATATCCAGGATGGAAGTAGTGGATACCCGCGGGAACGTACAAATCTTGTCGCCATCCATTCCGTTGCGTTTCCCGATGTCTTTCGCATGGATGCCCTTCGAGAGACATGAGCACGTCGTGTGATTTCGCGCATTCCATCACAGCTCACCTGCGGACCGGCCTCACGGATTATCTCCGGAACGTTGCCTAGGAGAATGCTTTGAAGAGCTGCGGGAACGTGACACTGGCCTAGGTCTCAGCTCATACTTAAAATACAAGCTGGGATGAAACTCACGATCATCGCCAGATCCATAACTGCAATGCCAGGAAGCCTCACGGAGGCGGCCAGCTGATGTGCGGCGGCGACGATGAGCAGTGAGCTCTCGACGACCTTAGGCGAAACGGTAAGCGCCTCAGCAGCGTTCGTAGGATCGAAAGGCTGATCTAAAGAAGGGGGCTCCAGAGACGCAGCCTCGTATTCCGCCTCAAGTGCGTCCACGGCCTTGGACATGATTTCGACGAGCTTGCGCAGCGGAGAGATTCCAGGAGCCATGATGTCCGCAGCTTGCTGTGGTGCAAACTACCTATATGTTTGTCAGAGGACGAGGACGACTGCACGTCTGCACAGCTCCCTTTTATATTCTGTGATAGAAGGTCAGAGATGCGGTGCGATCGGAGGCGGGCCGGAAATATTACCTCGAGACGCAGTCGTAGTAGCGTGTTTTTCGGCCACGAGTTCACGATACGACAGCAATGTGATCATAAGCCCCGTGTCATGGCTTGGGTCATGTATGTTGACTCCAGCTTCGACAAAGGCGCGAACTAGGGAAGGTCGTGTTAGTGAGCAATACAGTCAGCGTAGAAGTAGTTGTACGCAAATCGAATGACAGCCATGAATGTTGCCAAACTGGATAATGACAAGTACTTCCTGATAGGCTTGTCAGAGGCAAACACGTGCCTTGGGTATTCCACAGGCGTGAGACAGTTTGCTGTGAAGCAGTACGCTCGCCTGGGTCTTCCTGATAGACATACGATGTTGCACGCCTGTATAAAAGTAACTTTTCGAACAGAACGTTCCCTCACAGCAGGTGCCCGAGTGATCACTTTCGATACCGCTTTGCGGGTGGACCTGAGCTTTGCGCTTGTAATGTCACCTATAAGCTCGTCATGCATAGTGCCTGGTTCACAGGACTGGCAATGGATGCGGACAAGAAGCACGATACATGGGGTTGACGCTCGTCTTACGTGTGCAAGAACAGGACCGAGTATGTGCAATTGCAACCAGAAGTCAAGCCCGTGTAGCATATTACGAAAACAACACTCACATCCCCATTCGACCCATAGAACCTCCAGCTGACAACGTCGTGCTGACAGCAGCGAACCTGTCGCATCCACTCCTGTGCGCTCGAGTTGCAATGTGGCAAGGACATCGCACTGAGCTAGCGGGCTCCCCCCTCACCCTCAGCATAGCGGTGCCGTCGTCGGCAATCGTTGTTTATCTCTTTCCGTAGTTCAGTTCTCAACACCCGCGCCGCGGGGTCACTTCCTAGCGCACGCAACCCGCTGAACATCGTCGAGCATTTCGTCGCATAAACGTTCCTTTCGGAGGAATGGCATTCGTTTACGTCGTGATATTTGAACGTATATATCCTACAGCATGCCGCCTTTAAGAACAGGTGAGTCTATCGGCATATGCAACGATATATGTACTGCCGAAAGGAGTTTACCTCGAAATTGTATGCGGCCTGCCGCAGCGATACCATCCTGCACACCAGTTTGACCGCGTCCGAAAAGGGTCCCTGGGAACGTGGACATCCATCACACTCAGCAGCGAAGGTCCTCGGCTCTACGTCCTCGACATGAGCGAAAGGCGCGGTCTTCGTTATGACAACTCCCAGAGTGTGGATGGCTCGATGGTCGCGACGCGAAAACTGCTTTAGGGCAGGGTTCGTGATTCGTGCATTGACCGTGTAAGCTTCTCTATGTGACTGAGAATATTACTCGTTGATCGTCGACGAAGACGAAGTGGCAGCATGCGGTTGACGGATGATAGAAAGACGAGATAACAAAGAATGGTGACAACGCATACATACAAGCGATATACAGTCCCTAATGCTATGATATATATTTGTGACGCTAAGTGTAGGCCTTTGCTGAACAGTGAGCACGCCTCGGGTATAATGGCATCATCGCGATGGATCCCTTTCGTGAGCACACCACTTTTTACTCCGCCTTCTTGAACTCGATGGCTGCCGTTTCGCCGAAGTCCCAGAGCTTGACGAACTTGAAGCCGGTGTCGTTGCTGGTGTTGTTCCCATGTTAGTAACCTATGAGGCTCGTGATGGATGAGGGAGATGATGACTCACGCAAGGCTGGTGAAGTCGTCCAAGGTGCGCTCCTTCGCGTTCAGGCAGACCATCATCTATCCAACAGCTTTAGGTCAGTTGTGACATCGGAAAGCGCGGCGCAAACACGTACGTTGAGATCCTGGTAGTACTCCCGGATTCGGCCGAGACCGTAGTTGGGAAGCAGAGGCTCCGGCGCCACGGGGATGAGAGAGTCGGCAGAGCGGTTGAGGTGTTGCAGAACGTATTCCTCTGTTGCCAGCGTGATCAATCAATGACCAATTTGACTATGCTTCGATGGACTTACGAATGAGGAGGCGAGAACCAGGCTTCATGACCTTCTTCACGTTCTCGAGGATCTGCTTCGCCTGTGCGTCAGGCCAGTCGTGACTATAGGTAAGAGGTAAGATTAGTGGTTCGTGATGGTGTTTTTATAGTGTGACGAACATGATGTTCTTCAACTGTTAAGGGTACAAGTATATCAGCAGGGTGTCGACTAAACAATCATGCTAGCTCACGTAGTAGATATCGCAGTCGCTTGCGGGGGACTCCTTGAAGAAGTCGAACGGAACGAAGGAGACCCGCTGCTGCTCGACGACCTCCGGCGCCTCCTTGCTCCAGATCTCCTTCGCCTGGTCGATCTGAACACCGAGGTCCTGCAGAACGATGCTGAGCTGAGGGAAGGTCTTGGCGAGACGCATCGACACGTTGCCAACGCCACCTCCGACGTCGCAGAGGGTGGTTCCTGCCGGAAGCTCTTTCCATGGGAATCCTAGAAGTGCCACGTCGTCATTTTTGCTCATCGGTGGGAGACAGATGAACATACCGGTGAGCAATGCACCCGCGCCGATGCCAGCGTTGTAGCCGATCATGGCCTTTCCGAACCGAGCACCGAGCTCCTTGTTCACCACGTCGTAGTAGATGAACAGCGGCTCGCCGTAACCGGTGTATCGGTTGAAGCAGCTCTTGTTGTAGTCGTACGATGGACCCCACTCCGGGTCGTTCAGCACCTCGGCGAGTTTTGTCGAGAAACTAGCGCCTTCGTCGATCCTGAAATAGGACTATGTGAGCCGATTGGTCCGAAGCGCAAGGGAGTCGGATCCACGTACCAGTGAGCGAGGGTGTAGTACATTCCGTGGTCGGTGCCGAGGACGATGCTCAACCTGTTGTTGGCAAAGACATTGTCGGAAACTGTCGAACATCGGGTGAGCAAACCAGGATGTGGATGGTGAATGCGCTCACCTTCGCGGAAGCAGTGCCTCGTGGCGAGAAGTCGTAGTACGCGGGCCAGCTTGCCCTGTTCAATACCAGTCTTCTTGGAGAGCTCGCTGACGTGAAGCCCTTCTGGGTGACCCTTGAGGTGGTCAACGACATTCGCCTGAATGACGACGTTCAGGGAGGCGGTCTCCATATGCTATACGATCGTTGGCATCTCAAAGGCGAACGCGAAACTTTAGAACCTACAGCGAGGCCACGCTGAAGGGGTAGCGTGATTGTTAGAAGGATGCAAGTCATTACTAGAGTAGACCACTTACGTTGCACATGGTGTGTTGTGGGGCATTGACCAGAACGGACAGTTGAGCGCAGGCACCTTCAATAACTTGTTGCGCTTGCTTCAGGACGATCGACGACTCGACGCCGTCAAGGGGATGAGGCTTGGTATCGTCGAGATCGGGAGCAGGGACTCCAGCGCGCTCGTACTCCTTCTTCACGGTCTCGACGTTCGACGTGATAAGCGCTACGAGCGCATCGAGCTGCTTGAACGTGGACATGTTGGCTTTGCTCTTCGAAGACTTATTGCGACGATTGACACAGAGCCAGTTAAGCATAGACCTTTGAGGACCTGATATGCAGTCCGATCGCTGACCGCTTTATAGATTCAGAACAGTTGATGAGAAGTGTTTACTTCGAGGTTCTCGCGATCTCGAGGCAGTTCAAGCAGAGAGTCATTCTACTCTCAGGAAGACACAGAACCCGCGCACTTCTCATCTCCGCGTACGTGGCACAGCAGAAAGTGCGGGGACCACGTTCTGATTCCATCCTGCGATGTCGAGACGAGGGGCTGCCGAAAGATCCGTACGAGAAAGCGTGAACGAGACCGGCGGAGGCATCGTGTAGTAAGATTGACCAAATGTGGTTGGACGGTATCAGAAGGTTTTTTGCTCTGATATTCGCGATTGCAGTTCAGGTGGACATCGTGGTCAGGGACATAAGTTAGCAAGTGTATGCAGAAGACGCCGGCGGCAGCGGGCAGGGGTCCGGAAACGGACCGGGTAGGACGGAAGAAACGGAGCACAGCTTTGCGTGGCGGTCTTCCTTTGTTGCGCCTCTGATCTGCTCGGGAGCAAACGCTATACAATCACCACCGGCTCTCACTTCTCCTACTGCGGACCCGAGGTGGTCGGTAACCTAACTGTTGTAGTCACACACGGTTAACTCAGTTCCGACCACCCTCATGATGGCGCCCTTGAGACGCCATTGAGTTTGCTGGGAGACTCCGTGCTCGCAATCAACGTATCATCGACCTTTCGCTCGGAAGTGATATTGCGAATGCATGCAAGCATGGACGGCATGGTCACAGCCTTCTTCAATAGATGATCTTTACGTGAACGCTGAACCGTGCACAGACAAGCCCGAAAGCCCAATACCAACCTATCCATTGTACACGAGCCATGTCAATACGAAATACAACGCCATCTGAGGCAAAGAAACTACTGCTGAACGTCTGCGCGAACCAAGCCAAGATTTCCTCTTTTCAACCTAGCCACCCATCCCAGGGACTGATCGCCATCAGAAATCATCAATGGCTCGCGCTCGAAGTTGCTGACTCCGCTATTGTGATCACGGTGCACGATCCGCCGTGCGTTTACCTTGTTGAGCAATGCCAGCGCCTCGCTTTTTGTTACACGTCCGAGAGTGCTCTCCGAAATCGAAGTAGCGGCGTGTTCCAGCTTCGCGGGGTCTTGGATCGGAGCATCGACGTCGAGGAGGCTTAAGTTGCTGGCTTGATCTCCGCCGTTTGCTGAATCGACTTTCAGCTGGTCACGCACGATTTGGATCGTGTCCGTCTCGACCGGCGCAATCAGGTTCCCGCAAAAGCCGACTGCGTCGTCTAGCTCCGATTCATGAAGGTGAGCCCCCATGTCCGCTGCTCCTTGGATCACTAGAAAGCGCATTAGACTGAAACGAGTTTGAAAGGAATCGGTCGTACATGGCCGAATAATCGAGAACGCCCGGTCGAAGTTATCTTCGTCGACATCGGCCAAAGCTGTAGACGACTGTGACCGAATCTGCTTGTACGCCCCAAGAACGACGACGAGGAATCTGGAAGCAGTCTGAGAACGCAATATCGAGAAGGCAGTCCGAAACCAGCCCATACCGGGTATAACTAACGCCGATCCTCCTGTTGTGCCATTCAGCCGCGACTTTCTCCGTGCAGTCTCCGCGAATCGCAGCGGAGATGGTTATTGCAGAAGACAGTCCTCCGGTGAGTGCCAGATGTATTCCAGAAGAGAAGAACGGATCAATAAAGGCTAACAAGAAGTGAGCATAGCATCGACGTATTTATAGCTGGCAGATTCACCGCCAGCATCTCCGACGATTCTCCACCCATCGCCGGCGTATTGCAGCGCGTTATAACTGAAGTCGCTCGCCATCTTGATAGGCTCGTGCGGGCGCACTTCGCCCTTCTCGTTGACGCCGACGTGGTCGTCGATGACCGTCGCGTCGCCGATCAGGCCGAGGATATGCGGAGCATACTTCAACATCGCCTTGTATCGGGTTTGAAGGGTGGTGCCGGCGAGCTCGCCGTGGGTGTTGTAAGCGGTGTAGATCTTCTGGTTCATGACGATTCCGACGGATGTAATGCCGTTCGCAAGAGGAATGAACCAGGCCCATCCCGACTCGTCGGTGAGTGCTTCGAAATAGGCGGCGCCTTCGCGGTTGAGTCCTGATCCTTTCATGTACGCGCTAGTTCCACGCCAGTAACCCCAGAATGCGACGTTCCTGTGGTTCGACTGGTCTCAGCGAAAACAACTGTCGAACGATGTATAACGCGCACTTCAAGCTCTCTGTGTATTTGCGATTCTTCAGGTACTTATTTGACATGATGCCGGTACGTCCTGAGGCATCAACCAGGTAGTCGAAACTGATTTGACCAGTTCGCGCCCCAGAGACGGTGGATTGCGTGTACGAAGCAGACCGGGGTCGACCAAGGTCCGTCTCGGAAGACTCTCCCGGCGCTTTGCTCTCGAAATGGAGCTCGGTGACCTTCGTTTGCTGGTACACCCGGGCTCCGCTCTCGGCGGCATGATCGAGGAGCAACTTATCGAACTCGCTGCGATTGACGTTCCATACCGCGCCTTGTGGCCCGAGCGCACAGAAGTCGGTATACCCTTCGGTCTTGCCCTGGTTCAATTTCATTGCAGCTCCGGGCTAGAGGAACGCTTAAGACCAACGCCTCGGCTGTGCACGAGTACGAACCTTCCTGGCGAAGCCATGCGTCGCTATAGTCTCTTCGGCCTCGACAAATCTCAGATACTGCCTTACGGAGGGTATCAGGCTCTCCCCTATACGGATCGAAGCGACTAAGTATAGCCGACTTTCTGTGTTGACCTGGTGATACTGACCAATGTGGTATCTAGGGAACTGTGACATTTCGAAGACAGCGACGTCGAAGCCCTCGCGGGCGAGCGCTGAGGCAGCATAGGATCCAGCTGGACCACCTCCAATGACGAGGATTTGAACATGTTGAGGAGGTATGTTCACTTCTGTAGCGATCATGATGATACGAGAGAGACGTTGAGGAGGAGACCCGTGAGGGACGCGGACGATAACTCTTCGTGAGTGTACTGAATGTGGCGCCCGGACTTTGTTCGTATTTCAAATGCAACTGTGCAGATTGCTCAGTACCATACGGTTGAAAATTCAGACCTACCGAGCAGCGATATTGGACCGTAAACTGGGAAATCCCGCGAATTCACACAGTCGGTCACCCATCATGATCCCGGCCTGCCATCTCAGGGGCCAGAAGCAGTGCGAAGCCGACGGGTTTCGGAACCATGATGGGCGATTGACTTCGCCTCCGCAATCATCTGAAACTTGCCCACATACTAACTGGCTTTGTGCGCGGTGACGAAGTTCCTACGTTCCGGTCTCACAGCCATGGCGATGTGCGCTCGCGCAATCTCCGGATTGATAATAAGCACTCACACGCGAGCAATGCGCAAGGCGCTCCGGACAGCCCACCTCCACAATGTCGGCTCCTCCTCCTCCAGCAAGTGCCCTGATCACCGCCGCACAACATACGTATGTATCCTGACCTGTCCTGATTTCCATTGCCTGAACGGCGTACATCAGATATGCCGCAGAGCTGTTCCAGCTCGCGAGCTTTGCGTTTCTTGTTTGGGATCATCGTATGTCAGAAAAATTCGTTCTGAGTATCCGTCTCGCTCACTTTGCGCGTATAGTCGTGACACTGGATGCCGAGGTTTGCCTGACTCTCGTACTGAAATGTATAGCGCATTCAATGTCCTTTTCCCAGGTCGAACGTATATGGCAGCGACCCTTTACTGGGGCCACGTTTCTGTTCTTGCTCAATCGGTACGGTACCGTATTGGAGATCAGTGTTGTGATCGCTGCGTTTCACTCTGAGTGGACTGTCAATGTACGTTTAGCATGTTATATTGTACAAAGCGTCTACTCACACAACATTTGTTTCAGGCGTTCGTGGTCGTCCTTATTCGGCGAGATGTGTTCACGTAACCCTATTTTCAGGTGCAACCACTTCGTGAAGTTCGAAGGAGCCGGAACAGCCACTCTCGGAGCGATTTGTGCCAGTGAGTGGAGCACTCCCGCATGTTGTTTCACTTTGATCTGATCTGTGCTGGCAGTCATCATGATTCTACGAGTGTACGCTCTATGGCGCGGCAATCGGATAGTGCTTGGAGTGCTCTGCGTTGCTCTTGCAGGGCAGGTAGCTATGCAGGCAATCGCTCTTGCTGAAGGAATTCGTGCGTCCTTTCGTTATCATCTGCGCGCGCTCTGGAAACTGAAGTGTTCCATACCCAGGCGTACCTCTTCCTCCCGGTTTCAAAGGTTGCATATTGACGGGAAAGGACAACAAGTTCTCCCTATTTTGGGTTGCGCCCTTCGTCACCGACATCACCGTGTTCATCCTGACAATGTGGCAAACACGGTTATACAGCAGCGGAACCCGTCAGATGCCGTGAGTTCATATGCTGTGCCCGTTCGCTGAAGCTAACTCCTGCTCTTCGGCAAGTCTGATGAGGCAATTCATACGGGTGAGTAGATGGTGTTTATTTGTTCGGAAGATGTCCGCTCACGTCGTCTTGACTCGACAGGACGGAATGGTATATTTTCTCGTGATCGTGGCGGCAAATCTGATGAATGTGATCGTTTACTTCGTACGTGCCTCGCTACCTGAGATGCGAGTTTCTCGGTCACTGAAGAGCACTACAAGACCGCTGTCACGGACTTGAAGGCAATGTGCGCAACCTTCGCCCAGTTGCTCACGTCTGTAATGATCTCCCGGTAAGTTTGCATGTCTTCGTGTTCTGGCACGGTTTACTCATGCCAAAGCAGGCTCGTCTTGAATCTCCGTGGTATGCGACAAAATCTCAATATAGGCCAGTCTCTAAGTTCACTCAGCGATGACTGCCTTGACTCATGGCCATGATAGATACTGCTCAAGAACTCGGACATGCTAGGGGACTCAGCAGAATCAGCGCCTACGAAACGTCGCGGGCGAAGTTATACACTGCAAACGATACTATCATGAACTCGTGGGTCGCCACAAAGATGATAGGCAACTTGGGCGAGGAGCTAGAAAGTGCCTTCGACTCATCCGGGGCGGACGAGATGCCTATGGTTGCCTTCGCGCGGTGATTGCGGCGAATCACCGTCGAATTTTCATAACTTATCGAACTGGTTTCGTGCGCCGACCTGTATTGTCACATTTATACTGTATAACCTGTCACTATGTCACTCTTTACTCTTCATGCTTACAACTTCCTGAGTTGTTCAAATTTGTGGCAGGAAACATATTCGGGAAATATGATTACTCGTTTGTAGTACCGATAGCGCGCCACGACGCAGACTTGGTTAGATCTGTTTTCCGCCGCGTATCTGTCCCAGCTATCTCGCGCAATCTCGGTTGCTGTTTGAGATACCGCACCACGGCGGAGAGGTGCGCTCGAGTGTGCTGCAAGGCAATGATCGCCCTGTACCTCTTTCCATGCTGTTTTCCGCGAGACTTTGCTGCGCATCATCCTCCGGAATGCCCGTTGGGCGAGCGCCGCGAGAGAGTAAGGGTCAAAATGGGTTATGTGCCTGAGTACCGACGCGCCGACCGCGCGGTGCGGTTAGCGCATCTGAAGAGAAAAATGATGTCAAGTATTGGTCTTACGTGCCGATATCCGTCGTTTCCGTTCGTTCGCACCCTCGCCCGAGGCGAGACCATCAGCATCGTGACCGGCTCGTGGGGAGCGATATGCTCGGTAGTAATTGCCAATTATCAGCATGCCTCCCTTGCGAAGATCTCAAAGTCGGATTGCCGACATTCGCCAACGACGACAGGGAAAGGCATTCAAGTGACGCATCATTTGGTGTAAAAATAGGTTCAATATCACTCTATGCACAGCGCAGTGAAAGAAAAGGCGGTGTGTTGACGACGGTGCAGGTTTCTCCGTCCGAGAGAAAATCAACGGCGGAAGAAGCTATACAGGCCTCCAGGCCGAGGGGTTGCTTCAGCTCCCGGCCGCCCGCGTATGTATGTACCTCCTGGAAGATAGGAAGAGGTCATATAATTCGCCGTTGGCAAGCCCCCCATGCACATGTTACTTTGAGTACGTGCAGCTCGGCTAGATTGCGCACCCTTGTGGTCATAGTACTAGCAAGAAAAGAAGCAGTCAAGGCAGCACAGCTGGGAAGATCAGAGAATCTCGTCGCGTGGCACAAGGAGCGATCATGGGATAACTTCTAGATGCCGAACTAGCGCAGCAGCCTGTAACGCCGGGTGATGGAAGCAATACAGCGGCACGTTCGGACTCGGTAGAGGGCGTATGACGGGTAGATCTCCGACACAGCCGTGTTTACGGTGCGCATCGAGCTCAACATGGAAAGTAGTAGCGCGAACGCCGAGTCTCGGTACAGTAGCCACAAGAGAGATAAATGCGCCGCGAATGTTACAGTCGGAGAGTGAGAAACAACTTGAAGCGCTGGCATAGCCGCCCTTTGCCGCTGTCCAGATCGGCGTCACACGCCACCACGGTCGTTTCCCATTGACCATCTCCTGCAATAATCAGTACATCACTGTCATCAAGTTTTGGCGCATCCAATACACTACCCATTACTGGGCGCTGGCCTCTGATGAGGCGTGTTCTGATTTACATGTCCGCCTTCCACGGATAACGCACGACGCACATGACAGCATATGCTTGGTGCAAGGGATGTGATGCTGCAATGTTGATCTGAGCTCTACTTATCACCGTTCCTCGCTGAACGAAAGCTTCGTATGCGGACCCCCACAACGGCGCATCAATTCACGAGGCCATAACGTAGACTTCTATTTCTCAGTACCACTGCTCCTCGCATGTCCCGTTCGCAGCTCCTCAGTGACCCCACGGCCATGGACCAACTCGTCCAGCTAATTACATCCTCAGTAGAAACCTTCAAGGCGGAGTACCAGAAAAGAGGATACAACGGCCCGAGCCTTGAGGACACTAGCCCGCACACCGCTGACGCTATACCACCATCCATCGAGCTGAAGCATGCCAGCCAAGTTATAGAAGGTGCATGCGCTCAGCTGTGCGCAATCGTTAATCCTCCGCAACACACCATATGCAACGTAAGTATACATACATATTGTTCACAACGCACTCGCACTCATTGTTCAAGTTCAGCGAGGCCTGCAGGTGAGTATGGACTACTGTAAACACGTGCATCACGCAGATTGACGCCTTGCCAATCCAGCACCTCGAAATAGCTTGCTTCCGAGTTGTCGTGGAGGCCAAAGTGGCAGATCACCTCAAGGACTCTCCAGATGGCTTGTCGGTAGCCGACCTGTCTTTGAAAACCGGCATTGAAGCCGGTAAACTCGGCCGTATCATGCGTCTTCTAGCGACCAAGCATTGTTTCCGCGAAGGCGCGTAAATATCATCATACATCACTCAAAGTCAGTTAACGACCTATTCTCATCAGTCCAGGATGGGGTCTTTACCAATAATCGACTGAGCGCCACGCTCGTGTCCGACAGTTCTATGCATGCACTGATGGGCCATTTGTACGTACCACGTCCAGCTCCGAAGTCCGAATTGGACTTACGTGATGCCAGCACTGATGAAGCAGCCCGTGCTGGCCTGCTGCTATCGAAGACGCTCACAGACCCTGAATGGAGTCCTTCCTATGCCCATAACAAGACTTGCTTCAACCGTCTCACCGGATACGACGGCCCACTATGGACCTACCTCAATGACGTCGATGCAGCTATGGGAGAACGGCTATCGACCGGTATGATCGGCTTGAGCAAAGGAATAGGCGCCGGAGCTCTGCTCACAAGTACGATTTCTGCCCCTGTTGCATCGACGTTGGACTGACGACGTTGAGTAAGCATACCCATGGAATGACTTGCCCGAGGACGCGTCCTTCTGTGATGTGGGGGGCGGGGTAGGGTTCATATCTATGCAGGTTGCCGGCGCGTTCCCGAACGTTCGCATTGTTCTTCATGATCTGCCCCCGACGGTGAAGCAAGCTGAATCCGTATGGGCTGAGCATTGTCCCGAAGTCGTCGCTCAAAAGCGCATTGAGTTCGCCCCTATTGACTTCTTCGTGAATCCTGTTCAGAAAGGCTGCAATGTCTACTACGTAAGTCTTGCTGGTATCTTCTCGGTCACGGCTCATGGGTCCTCGTAGTTGAAGAACATTCTGTGCGTCTTGATTCACTGAGTGTTTCTTCTCGCTAACGGTGCTCTTAGCCATGACTGGCCGGATGACAAGAGCAAAGCCATCATCGAGAATATAAAGAACGGGATGCAACCCTCCTCGCGACTCCTGATTCGTATGTCCGTCACCATAATGACACGAACCGAAGTCCTGACACAAGGTAGAGGAGTACATCATCCAACACCTCCAGCAGCCGTCGGGTAATGTCAAGATGTCAGTGGCGCCGAGTCCCCTCCTCCCTAATTTTGGAGAAGGAAAGATCCGCCAGCACTATCTGGATCTTGAGGTTCGCTCCTTTCGCATTCTGGGATCGATGCGCGCCAACCCGACCCCCACAGATGCTCATAATGCACAACAGTCAGGAGCGTACTCTGGAAGAGTACGTTCGTCTTTGGTGCGTGTCAGAATCTCCTTCGCATCGTTTCTGCTCAACGTCTCGGTAACAGCGCTGCGTGCGGCTTGGACTTTGTCAAAGCGTATGATTGCGGGGAGACGGGAGTTCTAGAGTTCAAGCTTGCATCAAACTGATAAGATTATCGTCATTGGTGCTGTATTAGCATGTACGTTTATGGTGTATACAACTTTGTAACTCTTTTTCCACCTTGATTGGCTTGATCCGTGACGTTCCTAGCTCGGTTGAGATGTGTTTCACTCGTTTCTCAGGTGAGGGCGCGATCCTCGGATCTTTGGAACAGGAAAGGATAGTGGCTCAGGAATGGAGCGCCGGGACACAGATAATCTCCGTAGGCGCACATACTTGGTTCTGCATATAGAGAAACGTTCGCACCGGCGCTCGCTGTTGAATGATGAGCCTTTGCGTGCAGCATCCGATGCATCATCGCCGCGCCTTCGGCATACAACAGCCCTTTTCGGACCCGACTCCTATCTTCCGAGGAGGAAGTCACTGATCTTCTCGAGAACCTGGACCCCTATCATATCTCATCAGACTTCTTCGCCGAGTTAACCGTTGGTATTGGGAACTTTAGATCATCCTCACCCATAGGAACCAAGAGGAACCAGCGCTGTGAGAACCATTTCCCAGACTTCTCATGCAACGTGTTCAGGGCAACCAAGTGGTCATACTTTGCCGTATTCATCGCCTCTATTGAGACGACGATAGCCTCTGCGATGAACGTGCTTGCTGGATTCTGGGTGCTATCAGAACCATGCCATGCATCAGCCGCTGACGGAACTCACCGTCTGATCATATCGTCCAATGCATTCGACGTGAAGCTAACGACGCCTCGGTGATAACACGCGCACGGCAAACCTTCTCGTACATTCGTAAAGGCCGTCCACGTCTTTTTGTACATCTCACCTTCTTTCCTACGCTCACTTGCTACATATCAGCATGTCCAGTCATGCCAGGATTCGAATCGCAGTCGTGTGAGAGCAGTGTTTTCATTGCGTTGAATAGTTCACGCTCAACGTTTGCTATAGCGGGGGCGGAATAGGTGGTCTCACGTTTGCGCTCGCTCTGGCTCGATCGAATGCGGATGTTGAGCTGGACATATACGAAGGCGCGAGCCAACTCACCGCGACGGGCGCGGGAATCATTATGTGGCGTCGAGTGTGGCAAGTGATCGAGGCACTTGGCCTATCGGACGAGCTGGGCAGCTTGCAGGCTCGTAAACCTAGCAGCGATCCCCGTTAGTATTAAGCTGTGGTATCTTGAACCCGTCCTGACTACCTACATAGAAACCTCTTATCGCCTCAGAAGATGTGACCTGGATGTCGGCGTCAATTTTCATGACTTAGTTACGCCAGGTGAGCATTCATACGACTGCGCACCTTGAACATGACTAACACGCGCTGACCACAGGTGGACTCATCCTGGTTCATCGGGGCGACTTCCAGCACATCCTCCTGCGGCATCTGCCAGAGAAATATCGTATACACGTTGGAAAACGTTTGCTCGGGTACACTGAGAGCGTCGAGGAAGTCGAACTACAATTCGAAGACGGGTCGACGACAACATGCGATCTTCTCGTGGGCGCCGACGGGGTGAAATCGGCTACACGAGCATCCCTGACAGCATCCGGGGGTCCTGTGTGGAGTGGCTGGTGCGCGTATCGAGGTTTGATCCCTGCCGACGTCTGCAATGCAACTTTGTCGGACCATCCCGCCCTGAACGGACCCATGCTGGTAAGCTTCCGCCCTTTTAAGGTTATACGCCAATCAGAACAATCTTGCCCTTCTCAGTATTGTGCCAAGAACAAGGTCGATATCTCTGGTTCTGTGGTGTGGTTAATGCTTAAAATTGATACGGAACAGCACGTCATCGCATACCCATTGCGAAACGCATCGCAGACTCTTACTGCCCTTAACGTCGTGGGGCTCATATCTGAACCGGTCGATAAAGACGCTGCCTACAGCGGACCATGGGTGGCCGAGGTCGACAAGGATCACATGGAGAAGAACTTCGGCGATCTGGAAGACGAGGTGCAGAGACTGTTCAAGGTGGAATGCCTCTTCGTTATTTTCGGTCGCTTTGCTGAAGTACAACTTGATCTTCAGTGCTTCGATCGTCCAATACGATGGGCCATTCATGTGACCAAGCCACTTGACTCGTACATCTCGGATACCGGCCGAGTGGCCCTGATAGGTGACGCGGTGAGTGATGACTACAAAGGTGTCGTGCACGGAATGCTGAGTCTTGCAGGCACACGCAATGACACCATTCCAAGGTTCGGGCGCTGGGCAAGCAATAGAGGTTAGCGTCACTGCCGTGGTATCCGGAACCAAGCATTAACGCGGAGACTATAGGACGCCTACCTCCTCGCTCAGGTTCTGGTGCGATCAGGATTAAACGGCGCGGATCTGAAGGCGGTCTTGAAGGCGTACGATTCCCTGCGTCGGCCCGCATCTCAAGAAGTAGTGCGAAGATCTGAGCTGAACGGGTTGCTGTACGAGTTGAGAGCTCCCGGTTGGGTTGACATTGCAGCGAGCGACACTGAACGAATGCGAGAGCTCGGCGCTACCATTGAACGCAACTGGGAGTGGGCTTGGACAACAAAGTTGGACGACGACATCGACGCGGCGATGGACTACGTATTTGGCAGCATTTCGCGTCAAAGCTAGCTAGAACCTCAGTTCTCAACTATTAGCGTTTCTGACGGAACTCAATGCATTGATAGCGGGTGCACAAAGCCGTTTGCTGGCCTGTATGTTGTTTTGCCTAACTACGGTCGTAGCCATAGAAGGTCCCTGGTCGAGTCGGATCGCGGCGGCGCGGTGGGCTCGGGCGCGAATGTATTATCAGAAATCCAGATTGGAACAATCTTCCGCAAGACGACTTCGAAGCATCCGTTAAGGTGGTTAGCTTCTGATACGCCCGAGATATACCAGTTGGTTCAGAGCAAAGCAGGCAGTTGAGGGTCCGGAAAAAAGAGACGCAGTCCGGGAGTCGGGGCCGACGGCGTGCGGGCTTGGCGACAGGCGGCCCCATATATTCTCACGCCACAGCCTTGCCACGGTTAGCGCCGACCGAAACTCCGCCCAATCGCATTTTCGTTTCTCTCCGTGATCTTCGCCGCCGGTGCGGGACTTTCTTGCGCAACCTTCTCCGAAACGCGACCATCACTCGATCCGCCATGAGGTGCAACCATTGTTTCTTCGGGAGCTGCGAAATCTTGAGCTTTCCCCTGATAGCATCGAGTTTCGCGGGTTCGCGATCATGACAAAGGGCGTCCGACATGTGTCATAAGTCATTCATCGCTGCAGTAGCAATACTTTACGCGATTAATTTTCGTGACTGCTGATCAACTGCGCTCCTTCCTGCGCGACGGTGGGTGGCATATATGCGACGCTTTGTTGTCCTGGACACGCATTGAACCAGTGTTTCCAGGGAAGCCATGCCCGGAGACGCGTACTGCTGCTTCGTACTGGAGGGACAGGGGGAATCAGCTGCATCGAACATAGCGAGAGAAGGCGCGCTTCGAGACGCTCAGTCTCATGCGGGACGATCGTTGCTCGAGTCCTGCCACCAAGCCTTCCTGGGGGAATTGAAATCGCTGTCGCCCTCCGAGCTGCTGGACATCGGGCTCAAGCTCGAGAGTTTTGATGGGAATGCGACTTCCCTCCTCGACATGGAGCAGGAACTTCTCCACCATCCCATCATCTCCAGCGTTCGGCTATGCGTTATACAGCTTCTTCGATTCGTCTCGCTTTCGGAGCACCCCCCGCATGGACATCCTGCTTCACAACCCTCTTCCGCGTGCATTGCTGGATTTTCTTCCGGATTGATATCCGGCGCGGTCATCTCGGCGGGGGACTCCGACGCGAGTCTTGCTTTCTACGCGACCCAAGCAGTGAGGTTGTCTTTTTGGGTCGGCTATAGAGCAGCGCAGGCGGCTCGTAGCTACTGCTCGGGGTCGGCGAAACACTCTACCTCAGGCTGGGGTTTGGTGCTGTTTGGCTCCACGCGAGAGGAGCTGCAGAAGACTCTAGATACGTTCAAGTCGACGATAGGAGTAAGCGCGTCGTCATACAAGATAGCGTGGGGAAAGCTCACTTCGCTCCTTAGCCCGATTCGCTCGGAGTCTACATCAGTGCCGCGACGACAGACCAATGCATCTCTCTTTCAGGGCCTCCGAACCTCCTCGATGCCTTTAGGAATGGCTTCCTTCCCTCCAGTTGCACCGCAACGCATGACTTGCCGCTGCAAGCTCCTTACCATTGTCACGATCTTCTGACTACATCTCAAGCCGTGAAGGAGGATGTTGTCCGAAGGCGGATCCGTATGCCTGAGTATGCCGACCTTAAGATACCTCTCCGACCCGCAGAGCACGGTGCGGTTATCGGGAGTGAACGACACTCAAAGTCATCCAGTGGCTCTCTCGTTGAGGAGCTTATTGATTCCGTCTTGCTCCGCCCCGTCGACTTCGACTTCCTCCCTGCGCAGCTATGCTCTGAGGTTCTCGAGCCCCGCGGCTCTTCGTCCACCCTCACGATCGTCAACCTTGGTCCTGGGAAGGCCATATCGAGGGCGTTAGCTCGCGCCATAGCGGCGCGTGCTCCAACAGCTCATGTCAACACGATCGATTCATCGTCTCCGCTTCTCACGGGACCAGATATCCCTCCTTCGTCTATGCCGCCTCACATAGCCTCAAATACGACAGAGCCGATCGCGATCGTCGGGATGGCTGTTAACTTTCCAGGCGGACCGGACGTGGCGACGCTGTGGGAGAGTCTCGTCGCGGGCGTCAATACGGTCACCGAGGTACAGTAGAGTTGACGTTTATCTCCCCCCTTCTCTCCTTCTGACTTGCTCCATTCAGATACCATCGAGTCGCTTCGACATCTCGGATTACATGACGAAATCGACAGGCCGATCCATGCGTACCAGATACGGAAACTTTATAGAGAATGCCGACGTCTTCGATAACGCGTTTTTCCGTATATCGCCCAAAGAGGCCCGAAGCATGAGCCCCCAGCAACGACTGCTATTGCATGTTGCGTACGAGGCGATAGAAGACTCAGGTTACGTCGCTCATGCGACCCCTACCTTCGATCCTGATACGTTCGGTGTTTACGTGGGTGTCGCCACAAACGACTACGTCCTGAATCTTAGGGAGGACATCGGCCCGCATTATAGCACAGGTCTGTCATCCTCTTCATCTTATGATGATTTTCAGCTGAAACCGATATAGGGACGCTTCAGGCGTTTCTGAGCGGGAAGGTTTCATATGCTTTTGGCTTCGGCGGGCCGTCGATTGTTGTCGATACCGCGTGCAGCTCTTCGGCTGTGGCAATACACCAGGCGTGCCGTGCTCTTCAGTACGGTGATTGCAACGCCGCCGTCGCAGGTGGCGTGAATGTCATCACTAGTCCAGACGTACGTCATTAACGCATTCCCTCGGCGGGCCTCTCGGTGGCTTACGAGAAACCACAGATGTATCTCGGGCTGGACAAGGCGCACTTCTTGAGCGCTACCGGACAGTGCAAGCCCTGGGATGCGTCCGCCGATGGATATGCACGCTCCGAGGGGTGCGGGATGTTCGTTCTCAAGCGGCTATCGGACGCCGAACGCGAGAACGATAACATACTAGGCATAATCCGTGGAACCGAGATCAACCAGTCAGGTCGTGCCTGCTCCATAACTCATCCGCACGAAGACGCCCAAGTCGATCTTTTTAAGCGCCTGCTCGACAAGTCTGCGATTCCCGCCTGCCGAGTTTCGGTAGTCGAAGCTCACGGGACCGGTACGCAAATCGACCGCGTTATCTCTGTTCTACTCTCATGCATCGCGCGCAGGAACCCAAGCCGGCGATCCCATCGAAATGCGGAGCATCCGCGCCGTCTTTGCTGCGGCCCGTACCCCCGATAACCCTCTACATGTCACCTCAATCAAGGCGAACATAGGACATGCTGAAGCAGCGGCCGGTGCCGCTAGCCTGGCCAAGCTCCTGCTCATGCTGCGTCATAACGTCATCCCCGCGAACATATCCTTGAAGACGCTTAATCCGCGTATCCCTCCACTCGCATCAGATGGAACGCGAATCAACGTTAGTAACGTTGCTTGGCCGGCGAGCGGGAAGCCGCGAATCGCGGTGCTCAATAGCTTCGGCGCTGCTGGATCAAACTGTGCCCTTGTCCTCGAGGAAGCGAAAGCGCCGCGCCTTCCTTCGCCCTGCTCCGGATCTCTAATTTGTGGGCTGTCGGCTAAGACCGAGGACGCTCTTGAGAAACTCCGTCGGGCGTATTTGGACCATATCGACACGCGCTTACATAGCGACGCCGACTTCGTCAACTTCTCCTACACTGCAACTGCTCGCAGACAGCAGTACCCTTACAGGATCGCGGTCTCTGCCGCCGACAAGACCGAACTTCGTGCGAAGCTCCTCGCCGCGCCCGTGTCACATCCATCCTCCTTCGACGGCAAGGTGGTCGTCGCCTTCTCCGGCCAGGGAAGCCAGTACGATGGTATGGCCTCTAGCCTCTATTGTACATGCCCCCAATTCAAGGAGACGATCGATTACTGTCACGCGAAACTACTCTCGTATTCCCTTCCGGGCATCCTCGGATGTATCACGACTACCCCGGACTGCGCCACTGACAGTCCGACCTGTCTTCAATCGGCCATTTTCGCAATTGAGTATGCGCTCGCTAAGCTATGGATGTCCTGGGGTCTCAAGCCGGATGCCGTAGTCGGCCATAGGTGGGGTACCCTACCCCTTCTCCGCGTGCACGTTCATCACTGACGCCCTGGTAATCAGTCTCGGAGAATATGCTGCGCTCACTATCGCCGGTGTCATCAAACTCGATGACGCACTTCTTCTGGTCAACAGGCGATCCCGAATGGTCACGCAGTACTGCGCTTTTACGAGCACGGGATTGATGGTACTCCAACTTGGGCCCCATGAAGCCAGGATTCTCTTGCAGAATTCCCCTGAATACTACGCTCCCTTGTCAATCGCATGTTTCAACAGGTACGCTACGAGAGATAATCTCGTGTACCTCTGCGTATACTTACGCCACGAAAGCTCCAGCGCTACGGTCGTAGGCGGACCTACGGACGTTCTGAAGCAATTCGCAGAGGATTGTACCCGAAGCAACGTCAAGTGCCGTATCCTTGACGTTCCGCACGCGTACCACACGGCTGCTATGGCTCCCGCGGGCCTCGAGCTCACGGCGCTGGCGCAAACGTTCAGACTATCTTCGCCCAAGATTCCGGTCGTATCCAATGTGACCGGGCGCCTCGTCAAACCAGGAGACAGCACTGTCTTCGTCGCGGAGTATTTCGCCAAGCATCTATGCCAGCCTGTCGAGTTCCACAACGGGATCCTTTCGCTGCTTTCCGAACCTGACCTGGACCGAATTGCCGCTTGGATCGAAATGGGGCCGCATCCTGTCGTCCTGCCGATGATACCCAGGCTTCGCACCGACACCAGCTTTATTCCGACCTTGCAGAGAAATATCGAAGACTGGCAGTCGATATCGTCAGCTCTGGCTCGCCTCTACACTGTCGGGATACCGCTTAAATGGCGACGCGCATTCGACGTAGCAGCTCCAGGCGCACGTTGCGTATCTCTCCCCAGCTACCCCTTCGCAGACAATAGATATTGGATCAAATATCGGGACCCAGTCCTAACTCCCTCCTCTGCCTCCGCCGGCGTCCGTGATTGGCTCGGTATGAGAGTGATCCAGGTACCTCCCGCCGACCACGAAGGCACGGGGGTGGTCGAGGTGTCCCTCTCCGCTATTGCGCCACTATTACGCTGCCACCAGATGGCAGACACGCCCTTGTGCCCCGCATCTGTTTATCAAGAATTGGTTATTCTTGGGGCGCAGGCTATATGCCGGGATTCTCGACGCAATTTCGCGCTGTCGAACGTGAACTTTCTGGCTCCCATCACTCTGGCATCAGATACTGAAATGACGGTGCGAGTCGAGCTCGTATGGAACGGTGTCGTCGTGGGTCTCAGTTCTTTCAGGATCAGCACATATTCTCTAGACTCGCCTAAAGACGTCCGTCTTCACTGTACCGGCAATATCGGTCACCTGAGTGAAGTAAACCTTACGGAAGGCTGGTCGAGCAGGCTCTCCAGCTGGTCACTCCGAAAGGAGCGTCTCATGTCAGGTGCCGCTGGTGCGCCTCCGGAAACGTTCCACTCCAACACCATCTACAACATCATCTTTCCTCGAGTCGTTACCTACTCCGAGCCGTTTCAGAGCATGCGGTGCATCACGATTAATGACTCGGGTACTCAGGCGTTCGGCATTGCTCGCATCCCAGAATCCGCGATTAAGTCCTCAATGGCGCGCATCGTCTTCGCGGACACCTTACTCCATGCTGCTGGATTCATGCTTAACTCTCGGCTAGGTGCCGAAGATTGCTACATGTGCATTCACATCGGGTCGGTCAATATGCTTCGACACGACTTGGACCTGACGCGCCCATTCGGATTTCTTTGCGAGGCGACGCATGAGAGTCGCGAAGCGGCGTGCAGTATCGTAGCGTTCGGAACGGCCGACGGTGCGAACGGCGTAGCGGAGATGGAACGGGTGCGATTCAAGAAAGTCAGCCTACGGATGCTACGGAAGGTCTCCTCAAATTCGCCGGCAGTACCAGCCCCTTCTCGACGTCTTCTCCGCCGGCTCCCAGATTTGGAAGTCAAGGCTGCGACTGCGGGATCAATCCCCATCACTCCGCCATCCTACTCGAGCGCTACCCATCGTGATGTTATCCAATCGACCGTGGTGCGGATCATCGCTGACGTCGTGGGCATGTCCCCAACCGAGGTGGGCCAAAATCAGGACGTGTTGCTCGCCGACCTCGGTGTCGATTCCCTCATGTCAATCGAGCTTCTCTCTCGAATGCGGGAGTGCTTCCCTGAGCTCACGAGCAGTGATCTTTCCTCAATTCTTGTCTCTGAGGCCCCAGTTCGCGCGGTCATTGACGAACTGGATGATCTCTGGACCGCAAGAATGGGCAGCGACCACGGAGAAGCCATCATGGAAGTGACTGCTACGGATCGATCGCGAAGTGACGAGTTATCGAGCTATCGGCGGGATATCACCGAGGACGCACGCTCCGACACAGTTGTCGACCATCCTAGTACTCGCGAAATCCTTGCCACAGTGCTTGGTATGCCTTCTGAACGCATCCAGGTCGATGACAATCTCGAAGACTTGGGCTTGGATTCGCTGTGTTCGATTGAGCTCATCGGTGCTTTGAATGGCTATGTCTCGTCCTCCTTGACTCCCTTCGATCTTCAGCATTGCAAGACTGTCGGTGACCTCGAGAAGCTCACCTCTTGTTCAGACGTACCGGCGGGCTCTACTGAGCAGCGAGATACGAGCACGTCCCTCTATGATGCATTGGACAATGTGGTGCTCATTCAGAACGGCCCACCGAACTCAGAAACGCCGCCTTTGTTTTTGATACACGACGGGAGTGGTATGATTGATCAGTACAAACGGTTGCGGCCGCTTGGAAGGCGAGTGTACGGTATTCACCACCCCATGCTCGGAACAGATGGCGACTGGACGGGAGGGCTCTTGGAAATAGCGGCGCTGTATGCTACCTTGATTCAACGTATCGGCGGACGGGCTGCGTGTCTCATAGGTGGTAAGTACCGTTCTCCGTATATGTTTAGGATGGAACTCATGTCCGTGCTAGGCTGGTCTTTTGGAGGCGTGGTAGCGTTCGAAGTCGCCAGGCAACTTATGGCTATCGGCGTCTCAATACAGGCCGTCATCGCTATTGACTCGCCTCATCCTGCGGAGACGGTCCCGATGTCTGACGAGCTGATCGACCACGTACTTCGACCGATCTCCAGGAAAAGTCACGTAGCGGATTCCATTCTTAGGCTTATGCTACAGTCGACGCGGGCCTTGGTAGAGTACGACCCCTATGCCTCCTCGGCCAGTCGCTTCGTGCCTCGAGTGATCCTATTGCGGTCGGCCCAGGATTTCGACTACGGGAGCTATGAGGGCGCACAGTACGCGTTCTTGTCGAATAGGGCAAACCCGCGCCACATCGTACAAGACTGGGAGAGCTTCTTGGGAATGCCCATCACTTCAATCGATATCCCGGGTCATCACTTTGAACCGTTTGAACCGAACATGGTATGCGTTAACTGTTCTCCTGTACATATTTCTCATCGCTGATTATGTACCTGGGCAGGCCTCCACAACGTCCGACGGATTAGCGAGGGCATGCTTACTGGCCGGCGAGATGAAGTCATCTGTTCGAACATGAGGATATATCACATCGGTATCTATCATATTGCGTGTATTGGTTCCATCTTCCTATACGCACTTTCAGCCAGAAGCAAATATCGTAGGCATTATCTATTCTGATGCAGATCAGGGAATGTGAGCCATAGCCAAGTACCACATACACACGATATTTCTATCCAAGTACCCTCTTGGCACTCGTCGTGTGGATGGCTCCCGCGGTTAAAGACAGGTCGGTCAGGGTCATAGAAAAGCGGAACCAACCTTGAATCTCCTTGTGAGCACTGCCGCGCCGTGCGCGATTCCTGCTCAAGTCAAATCTGTTCAATCCCACTATCAACATCGGGCCCGAGCAAAAACATCTGAGATATGACCCAAGTACTGCCATGCTGCGCCCATTGAATTCGTGATAGAACGTGAATGGGTTGCAGTATCATAGCTTTGATGGCACTCTTGGCTAGCAAATCCCATCGGTTAGGATAGGGCCAAAACGGCACCTCGATACGCATTACAGTGTGAAATCCAGAGCAACGGCCAATAACTGCGATGGTTAACATGTGGACTGCTATATCGGGGAAAATTGTTTGCCGGCGACAGTGACGAAGTGGAACTCGTAAACGTCTTAAGGGTGGTTTCTGTCATGATCATGCCGTGTTAGCGGGGCATTACGATGTTTATTGACCGTCAAGACCACAAAGGCAGTGTACAGCATACTTCGCTTTGCACTTCATGGTTACCACGCCCTCTTTGAATCCGGAATTTTTGCGGTCAAAGACAGCGACGCTCTGCGGTTTTCGTCGAACAATGACTAGTCAAATCAACATTCAAGGATAAACCCTGCTCAGAATCAGCGAGCGCGTTGCGGATTTGAGTAGCAAAGATAAGAGACCAACATAGAAAGAGAGGGCCGTCGTTCCTCCGTCATGCCGACTCAAGAATGGGCCTTGATTCTAAAAACTATTGCGCCACCCCGACAACTCGTACTGTGTGTCACAAGCCGTTGGATGATATGCCATCATCCACGATGTTACGGGTTAGCTTCGATCACTCGTCCACAATACAAGTCGCACATTGTCACGGTGTTTGAACGATTTCATTCATGGACCATAAATCATAAGGTACATGCAAACTGCGATACATCGAGGGGAAAGTAATGATATATCATATCAGGCGACAGGGGAAGACCGTTTATCCCGTCCTGCGTTTCTTGCTGGGCTTCTCCATTCGTGCGCCAAGCTTCCTCTTCTCTCCGATCGCCACCGACGTCCCCTTCTTCTCGACCGCTAGCGCATCCCGCGCATCGTGAGTCGGAGCAATTGCACCGCCGGCAGTACCAGCGCGCTTGTCGTGGAGGCGAGTCGATCGCCTGACAGGCGCTATCGGAGAGGATGCAGCGTTTTTCCTTGAGCGAGCACGAGTCCTCGTGCGTGGAGGTGGGGACGTCAAGATTGGTGCAGCTGGTACAGTGTCGGCATCCGTAGTTCTCAGGTCTTCGGCTGCCTCAGGGACAAGACTGACGTCCATAGCGGCGTTCGGCGGGGGGACGGGTACATGCTCCAAAACCGCATTTGACACTCGGGGAGCAGTATCCGCATACTCCACGTGCTCCGCTATGGACTGCAACGGCTGCGGATAGAATGGCCGATACGTGAACAGCGGATCCGTCCAATCCTGACCGTGAGCTACATGACTTGGTCCGACAACTTGCACTGAAGTGGATGCCGGAGCAGCGCGTCCACCATTGAGACCTTCATAGGCGGACGGGTCAGGCGACGGCGACGGCGACGACGATTGAGGATGGATTGAACGTGGTGTCCGGGTTTGTCGGGTGTAACTCGATGAAACTATGGCACCTGGGGCAGGAGTAGCAGGTGGAGGTGGAGTAGCAAGCCTTGTTCTGGTCCTGCCCGGCGTCGCGAAGGGCGGTGGAAGGGTGGACAAGTCGGTGTCAGAAACCGTCTCGAGCTTCACGACAACCGGTGTCGGGTTTGACGAATTATGTGCGGGGAGTGGTCCCGTAGAGCCTCGTGTATGGCTCGGTCCGTCTTCCTGCACGGGAAACGGACGAGGAAATCCTACAACACCTTGCCTGGCGGGTGACCCAACGACGGTTTGCCTTGGAGTGACGAGGGGTTCTGTACCGCCTCGAGTATAGTTGTCGGCAGGATTCAGCTGCATCCGCGACACGACTTCCTCCGCCGGTGCCGGTTCATCGCCGGGTCGGTAGCGACTGGGGATATGAGGAGGATCAGAGGACGTGAACCCCGCCACCGCGACAAGGTTGTGGACCAGCGGATCACCGCAGATCAGAGGCGGAACGCGCCCTTGCGGAACTACGCAACCTTGCAGCCAAGGAGATTTCCGAGCTCTCTGGAGATCCGTACGATGTTCGGGGTTCTCTTGCAACAATCCGCGGAGTAAAGCACGAGCTGTAAAGGTAAATGCGACTTCAATTACAGGAGTTCCGTGAAGGATACAAGGTCAGCTCACCATGTTTGCTGAGCGAGCCTTTCTTCACGTCATCGTTGGCTGTGCCTTGGGCCTCCTCGGTGGGTGCATTGCTGTTACCACTGCCACCGTTGGCGTCGTCCGCTCCGGCGTCATTCGCTCCGGTATCTTTCCCCTTGGCTCCGTTCTCTTCGGCGGCATTCGCTCCGCCGGCATTCACTCCGCGGGGGCTTTCTTCGGCGGCATTCTCTTCGGTTGCATTCGGAGCGACCTCGTCAAGTTCCACAAGTTGCGATCGCCTGGTTGTGATTTGATCAACAACGTCCTTTGCTCCTTCTCGGACCAGGAACGACCGTTTCTTGAACAATCTGAATCACGAATCAGCCAAAGCGCTTTGAGTTGTAAAGATAGGACCCACATAAAGTACATTACGCCTCCGACACAGAATGCGTCGCTTAGCTCGTTGTTGCGCTTCATCGCCACTTCAGGCGCGGCGTAGTTCGTACTTCCCGCACGGTCCTGCATCGGAACATGAGTTTCAGCAAATTTTCGACGGAAGGGCAGCCACTCACCACTGGTGCGTTAGGATCATCCTTTTTCCGAATACACGTTCCGAAATCGCCGATTTTGACGGTGAGAACGCCAGATTCGTCTACGCGGAAAACCAAGATGTTCTAAGGGCAGTGTTATCACAAGGGAGATTGGACAGGTCATGTCATAAGTGACGCACCTCAGGTTTGATATCCCTGTGAATGAAACCCTGTTCGTGTATGTACTACCGACAAATGTTCAGAGAAGACCTCGCGTTGAAGCCTTTGAAAGCCCACCATAAGGCCATCAATAACTTGAGCGACGACGGGCTGCGCGAGGTATTCGGCTGAGAAGGGTAAACAGATCATGAAGTCGGGAAATAGCGGTCACCAGAATGTGACTCACGTAGCTTTCCATTACGTGCAACGTAATGCAGCAAAGATTGTTGAGGTGCCACATGGGTAATCATTGCTTCACAACACGACGATAACGGGGATGAGTGTTGTCATACATGATCATTTGTGAGGGAGTACTTACATAACTCCGTGAGTCTGTTTGGATTTATGCACCAATCAAGCAACTCTAGCACGTTTGGATGAAGAAAAGCTTCCCAGATGCGGAGCTGGCGGGCAATTTTCTCAAAGTTATCGTAGTTCCTCTTCACAGTCTTAACGGCAACCGCACGCCTGGTTGCGGTGCACGTGGCGAGATGAACCTCTACCGACAATGGCCCAAGTCAGGCCTGAGAGTGGGTGTAATATTTGTTCGTGACTGACCTCCTTCCCCTCCTTTCCCGAGCAACAAATTGCCATCGTAGCGCTCCCTGTGCGTAGGAGCTTCGCCGACATTTACAAGGTAGCGATACGCATATTCTGGTTCAGGGGTGAAATTTCGTCCTTGAGTGGATGTGACGAAGAGCACGTACCATTGTCGTCGATGCATACCATGTCGTCCGGTGACAGTACATATGGTTTCCCGGCCGCCATGTCTTTGCCATTGATCTAGTAGTTGTGAGTGGGTCAATCATTGCGATGCACGTAAGTTTATGCTTACGCTCATTTGGACGGCTTCACTCATCCGTAATATACATACTTCGTCTCCGTGCCCTCCTTGAGCTGGGCCTTTGAGAACCAACGCTACAGCCTTGCATGATACGTCTGCTGCGTACGATAGAAAATTCAGCAACTGCCGGTCTCACGAAAAACGTGACTCACATGTCTTCTTCGCACTCGCGTGTAGAGATCCGGATTTGCCACACCATACATGCCACGCCTGCAGACCGGTGGCGTCTTGGGCACGGGACTGCGACGATTCTTCGAGAATGACATGTGGAAAAGCTGCCCTAGCAGACTGAAGGAAAGCCCAGGCGGTCGAAGTTTGCCGCAGTTCATGTCGATAGGATGCACGTCGGGCAAATACGACGGGATTTGCCAATCCCGGCGATTGCGCCATATCTGCGGACGGTAGGTGGTTCAAGCAGGTGTGATAGTGATAAAGGGCGATTCTTGGTGAACAATCCTTATTTATATGTCGATGCAACGCAAGTGCCACAAAGAGGACGTGGCCCCCATATTGTTCGTTTTGATCCCGGCCACCCACGCCGTGATCGCAAGGTGACACATGCGAGACCACGAAAACCGTCGCTCCGGAAGGGTGCGAAGAATGAATTCATTGAGGAGGTAAGTGATTATCCTGTTCAAACAGGCTAGTGACCGTCTAATCGCTCAGCCAGTTCGCGTTACTTCACTGGTGCACCGGACAACGCATCTGGCAATTCCGAAGGTCAGCTCCTAGTGATCTCGGGATGAGGGATGGAGATAACATACGAGATCACATACGATAGTTGAGAACTGGATCTCCATGTATTTTAGCATTCGTGGACTGAGAATCGGTGAGCGCTTGCTGGGCCACAACCGCGAACTTTCGACAAGCATGCCCATCGGCAAGGCGCTGCGACTCCGAGTCCGCGAGCGCAGCAGTAGCAATCACGTGACGGCACAGTCAAGCAGGAGTATTAGCCGTTTAGCAGCAAGTTCCGTTGTGCGCTTGACAGACTGATGAATTAAGGCTTATGCTACAACGTGAACCCTAGTGTTGCCTCAAGTGCACAAAGACAGCAAGAAAGCGCAACCATGTTATTACCGAAGTAACACCCAAGTCCAGGGATCAAACGGAACCTCGGTGTTAGCCGTCCCGTTGACGACCTTGGGATCCGCGGCGCTATCGCTGGGCCTCGTCTCCAACTCCTGGACAGGTACCCAGCGGTAATAATCCCGCACAAGAAGCCTCCATCGCCTGCTCGTCTCGTCCCACTCTACGAGCTCGTCGCCCAGAATGTTGACGAAGACGGGGTTGCCATCCACGTAACCATCGATATCGATCTCCCCAACAATCCAGGTGGGGAACGTCCGGATCGCCCGAATGATACACTGCAGACACCGTCCGTAATTACGGTGCCAGTATTCGAGTTCGCGATAGATGGGCGGCTTTATGTCGTGGAATTGGGGTTGGTACTGTTCGGAAAAAACCCGTGGTCGTCGGGGACAAAGGCGCGCCGGAAGTACAAGCACGTCAGTCTCAACGGAGTGATTGATCATGGTCCCGATTTCAGACATGAGAAGTCGTTCGTTTCCCATCCTCAGTGGTGGCACTTCTTCGTTCTTGCAAGCGCTGCAGTCGTGGAAGCCAATACCCTGCTGATCCACGCCTATTCGAGGTCTCGGTGTTGGAAATGACCGGAAGTGGGAAGGGTTCCGCTGCTTCGCGCGGCATCGACAATCGTGCCAAGCCGGATTCTCCTCGCTCCATTTGTCGCAGAGTGCAGATAAGGTGCGCATGTCATCACGCGAGAAGGCCTTCGCGGTCTTGCCACTGATGTCGGACCGGATGTATTTGAACCAATGAATGAAGGTCTTGAATTCTCCCTCAGTGACCTTCCGTGCGTCAGCCGGCGGGGGTTCGGCTATCGAGGACATGGTATCGAGTCTCTCCGTCAGGCTGCGTCGAGCGTCGTAAGCGAAGGAAGTGCAATGGAATAGCGTCACGTACAGCTCGGGTTGTACAGATCTGTCCTCGAGCACGCTATGCTCTACTGAAGGTTCTTCGCGAGAACCCAGATGGATAACATCCGAGAGCAAACCCCTGGCGCTGGTGATGGCGCGAGCTATGAGCTCTTCCGTCCGAGCTACTATCCTCCAAACATCCGTCGCATCTCTTCGTAGGCGGCTCAACTTCACCGCGGAACGTTTCAGGCCACTCTTCTCTTCCGGTGATTTCGTTTCAGGATCGACATCCAATATGACAGACACAGCATCCGGCCGACGACGTTTCTGAGCGCGCTCTTCGTTGGGTTCGGGAAGTCGACTTCGTTTTGTTTTTCGCGTAGGAGAAGGGAGGTCGACTTTCTCTTCTGTCAATCTCGTCTGCGAACCAGCGCCCAAGACTGCCGGTTCAACACTTGGCCGACGTCGCTTTCGTACACGCTCTTCACTGGGTTCTGCGGGTCGACTTCGTTTGCTTTGTCGCGTGAGCTGAGGGGGATTGCTTTGAGCAGCGACCTTCTTCTGATAATTCGAAGGTGCAGGCTCTTTTCGGGTGTCTTTCGCTCTACGAGTTGTCCTGGTCTGTGCAGTTGGTTGCGGAGAGGGATGAGGAGGAGACTGTCGAGCGCGAAGGTTATATGTATGGGTCATCTTGCCTGTGATCAACAGGTTGATAATGTGAGCCACGGGCGTCGACCCCTTGAGCCACGAAGTCAAGACTCACGGTGTCCAGATTCAATGGTGCCTATAAATTCTAGGCTTCCTTCTTAAGCTAGCTGTCGACGCTTGAGCTAATACGTCGAGGTATCCCGGGGGAGATCTTGCAAAGACCGGCGAGTCGTTTGGTGGGCCTTCCGCTCAGGGGTGAGACAATTATCGGAACCGCAATAGACCACTGTGATATACAGGACGTATAGCTGAGGGTCAAGGTATACAGAGCCAGAACGAGATGATTCAGGCGATGCCTCATACTTGCAGCTGGTAGGTTCGTCTCGGAAACCACGTGGTTCCTACGTGTGTTCAACAAACGTGAGTAAGGGGGCGGCAAGCGCCTCATTCCGACTCTCCTGTCCAACCTGATTGGTTACATTCGGGCGGAGATTACATCGGACCACAAGGCACAGGTCACCCGTGGCTCGGAGTTCCAACTATGCACCGTCAAATCTACGTAATAAACAAGCGCCCGAAGCTCCACATATCAAGTCCCAAGACGGAAAGTGTCATTACGCAGAGAAGAAAATGCGCAGTAGAGGTAACAGTTACGTAACTGACCACTATCAGCAACAATGTAACCTTCGGCACCTCGGCGAGCTCCTTGATCAGATTTACAACTGATCCCAATACATGATCTAAGCATTCTCACACTCACTATGTCACGCTGCTGCGGCCAGATTAATTCGAGCGCCCAGCTGTCCGATTTCCACGGAGCCATCACGCTCTATCACGCTTTTGTAACGTTTTGGCGAGGTCACAGGGGATGTCACTGTGACCGAGTCCAGTGCGGAAAAACCAACTCCTTCCCCTTACGGGGGGAGTCGGAATATCGTCTTTCAAGTCGACTGGAATGCACTCATGGTCGTTAACAAACCTTTGTTGCACTTGGTGGCGGTCCCAGTGCACCGAACACCAAGGCAGGAAGACAAGATGAATTGTGGGCAGGAGAAAGAGCACAAACATCGGTTTATTTCGAGAGTAGTAATAACACTGCATTCGACGAAAACGGAGATCCAACCCGAAGGCTTTGATATCATTTTCCAAACAAGATCATAGGTAGAATTATCGTTCCGCCTCTAGAGCGTCTTCTTACTCTTACGACCCTGCGAGCGCCTGCGAGTAGTCCTCTTCGAAGCCTGGCAGCGTTCACCACCCTCCGAGACTTCGTAGCCAGCGCGGCAAGATTCTGTACGCCCGAAGGTCAGCGCGCCATACACAATCCAAACTGCGAACACAACTGACTGATGTGGCATCCGCCCCTGAAGCAGCTGACCTCGTCCACCTGAGAGATCGCGCTGCAGTCCCGCCCGCCGTCGAGCGATCGAGCGCCGTCAAGGCCGCCTCCGCTGGTGACGCATCCGCCGCACTGCTCGAGGTTCATCGACGTGTTGACGCACTCGTATCCGGATACGGCGCCGTTTTTGTAGACCGGGCAGGAGCTCTGGCCGCGAGCGCACGACCCGGAACGAGGACGGAGCGGGGCACGCTTGCGCGTTCCGCCGGTGGGCGTAGCGGGATCTGCGGTCGTCGTGGCTGAGAATGAAACGTCAGTACAACCTCATATTGCATATTGTATGGAGGAGAGAGGATGCTTACGGCATGTGCCGGTCGAGGTGTCCTGGTCACAAGTGGCGACGGCGCCGGACTGCGCAGTGCACTGCTCGACGTTCGTCGCGCCGGGGTCCGAGTAGCCTTGCACAAAGGTTCCCTCGGCGGGACAGATCGTACACGACGTCTGACCCGTCTGGTCTTGGTAAAACCCAGAGCAGCAAGTGCAGCACGCCGTGGCGCCAGAGACGTCGCTGAAGGAGCCCTGCAGTGACGAGATCAGATCGTGTCCGACGCGCTGTAACAGAAGAATGTGCTCACCGCTGCGCAGTCGTTACAGGTCGTCGCGCCGGTCTGGTCTTGGAACTGCCCCGGCTGGCACGACACAGGAGCCGTCTCACCCTCCGTAGGGCAGGACGACCCTGCCGGGCAAGTGGTGCACTCCGTGCTGCCCTCCGTCGCGCTGTAGGAACCCGCAGGGCAGATGGTCTGTGCTGTGGCGCCCGTGTCGGCGACGAAATACCCCGCCTGGGCGTTGATACACGCAGTTTGACCAGTTTCTGAAGCACACGTGAGGCGGTGAAGGGAGCCCGTGAAGAGATCTAAACTCACGGTCTTGGTACTGGCCAGCAGGGCATGCGGTGCATGGATCTTCGCCGGTCTCGGTGTTGTAGCTTCCGGCTGGGCAAGCCGTTTGCGCCAGCGTGGCAGGAACTAGCGCAAGCAAGGCGAGAGTAAGGCTGAGGGAACGTCCACGGGTCTGCATGATGGATGGATGTGAGGATGTGTGAGTGGTAAAAGGACCAAGGCGAGGGTGGGCGAGGTTTTATAGACGACTGACGAGGAGAACAGGGCTATATAACGGATATACTCTAGCAAGCGATCCATGGAGCAAGCTTGATGCAGATTATCCTCTATTTCCTGGCTGGCGAAGGGGCGGCGGAATGAGGTCGTCGTCGCGCGAGCGGCAAAGGACGTTCCGCGGCGGATTAATGCCAGAGGGAAGCAGCCGTTCCGTTCGCGGTCCGTCGGTCAAGGAGGGACGATAGGAGCATTATCAAAGATACTCGAGAACGTTCTTGCAGCGGGAGGGTAAACTATGCGCTGTCCAATCGGAATGAGGAATGGGCGGTAACAAACCGCCTGAATGGTGCTCGGAAAGCATGCATCTGCACGGTCCGCCATCTCGTCCAGCGGTCTGTCGGATGTTGACCAGAAAGATATCGCGGTTGTGACATGATAGAGCTCCTTGAAGTTTAGCGATTAATTCATGAGCTGCACTTGGTACAACGGTAGTCATCGCAAGAGCAGAGAGGAGGTCTGTCTGAACTCCCTAAACTCGTGACGCGACCACACCGAGTCTCGCACCGCGAATGCAAGTGACTCGGTTTTACGTCTTTACTGTAGTTCTCCTTCACCTTCGTGTTGGCATCGCTGCTCTGACGGCGGAACAGCCATTGATCTCGCTGCACATTGTTAATAGTGGCTTGGCGTGTTTGTACTGAGACGTGTACATAGGAGCGAAACGAGTGGAGGAAGGAGGGCGATACGGTCCGCAATGCATAACAGGCAGTGGCCAAGAAAGAGGACAAGCGTCAGCAGGAGGGTCAAGGGTGCAAGGACAGGAAGAAATGGAACATAAGATGGGCACGCCGGTATGACACAGAGAGGTGGGGCGATCTTGAGGTTAGCCAGAGAGCCGTAGGCTGACGTCTTTGCGACCAGTATCTAGGCGATGCACGGTGTACACGTATAGTTGTGATGAATTCTCCAGTCTGCTCAGAAAATGAACGAATCGCGCAACCCTCGATATTCCGTCGGACTGGAAGCGGTTGGTATTGCTGTGAGTGCTCCGAGATTCTTAGGCGGTGTTCGGTTCACCGGTGACTCAAGTGAATCACCTGTCTTTTGCGACCCAAAACTACTATTTATGGCATGTGTGTCTCACGGTGCTACTCTATCTGGAAGTTTTCCCAGACTCAACTGAGACCTGATTTGCCTATTTTGGTATTAAATCAGGGTGACTTACCTCAGTCACCTTGAACCGAACACCGCCTTAGCCGCTCACACGAAATCACACCATCGGCACGCTTGCTTCTAGCTGCCGGCGCTTGTCTCGCGCCGTCGTGGCATGGGATGGTGGCTTCGCGAATTCTCTCATGCGTCACCCACAAATGAGGAGTACGTTGTGTAACGGGAGACAATTGTTGGAGATATTCTGATGGCTCGTCGGCAATTGAACGTGCGTCTGCTCGACGATGAAAGTAAGTCGTCTCTGCGCGAACATTGAAAGAACTTGGTCGCATATTGACAGTTCGGAAGCGGCACATGCCCACCGGTGCCGAGGGTATAATCTTCATCCCGAGCACCCTTCGATACGCCCTCCGGATCCGCAATATTCATTATGCTTGAAGGGGCAAACTTCGTTGGTAATCACAACATTTCAATTTCCCACTATCTGTCCAGCACGCGATCCATGGGAATGCTTCCGCGCATTGATGGCTATTCAGGTAACCGAAGCCTTGTTCTTGAACTGACGTCGCTGGCACTACAGATGATCAAGCAAAGCACGAACTTCAGCAGAAGAGTACGGCAACGAGACAGTAAAGCAGTGGGTGGGCACTGCGCAGAGGCAGCGCGAACTCCATGATGCAGGATTGCGAAGAATCATCGACAGCATCATCGTCTGGCCCGATATCAATATCTGCTGCTACAAGCCATCGAACTCAACCCGACTGAAAGTGCGCACAGAGTTCTTCATCGACGCTTGCGCTCATCGCATATCGTGACGGCTTGCTTCGAGATCTTTGGGAGTGAGTAGTATTCGATCCCGCACCTTCTCGGGTATGTATAGTTCAACATGTCAATGCTGCTCACTACGCTGTTATGTGCTCATGCACTCCCCACAGTGCTGGGGCCGCGTATCACCCACGTGCACAATACAGCTGCATGGTGTTCTGAGGATACCACCCCCCCTGCATATCTCGTTCACAATATCTGAAGATCTTCGACTATTATGCCCAT